ATTTGAAGAAAACCGTGGTGATCTCTCAGTTTGTTCCGGTTCACCATGGTTTGTCCCTTTACTTCACGAAATTTCAACGACCCAACGTCAGTTTACCACGGTTGATCATGGTTGACTAAACCGTGGCAAACCGGGACATAAAACCGGGACTGTGTAAATGGGGCTTTAACCGCCCTAGTATGACTGTATTACTATTAGTACTAGCAAGAAAAAAAGGTCTTCAAATCAATGAAATTACTTAAACCGAATTCTGATCGCGACAATATCATAATACTTTTAAGATGTTGTCAATCAGGGTTATAAATGAAAAAGGGAGACAAAAGAAAAATACTTATCTATTGAGACTTGAGTTTCAATTATATCTTTCTAGAATACGCCTTCTAGCGTAAAAATTATATTATATAGCAGCTCAAATCCTCGATATTTAGGTTCATAAAAGAAAACAATTAAAACAAAGATACTTTTTGTTAAATGACAATTACAGTAAAAATAACAAGAGAGCGTTTTAAATTAAAATACTACTACTTTTAATCATGATTTTAACATGAATTTATATCTTGCGACATTTAACGGTAGTGTTGCGACATTTAACGGTAGCAGAAATTCGTGCGACATTTAACGTTAACATTGCGACATTTAACGGCAAATGATTTTGCGACATTTAGCGGCAGTTGCGACATTTAGCGGTATTGGTGCGACATTTAGCGGTAAGTGCGACATTTAGCGGCGTGGCGCCACAGTGTATACTAAATATCGACTGCGTCTTTTAAAATCAATACCTTTATACAAAATATAGATCGTTTAAGTATAGCATTAAGCTAATACCTAAAAATAGCTAGGTATTTCAAAACTTTTAAATGTAAACATACATATATGTATACTGTAAATATAAAATGTTAGCCGATTTAAAACTATTTTTCTGATGGGAATCTTAAAATTTCATGTTTTAGTGTGCTTTATTTTTACTCTAATCGCTGTGATACTTCAAGGTATAGTTTATGTTATAACTTTGTGTTACTGTTGTTTCTTTTGTTGCCGTTGTATGTATTTTAGTTGTTTATTTTACTTTGTTAGTGTTGTTTTTTTCTTGGGTGGTGGTGGAGATATGTGTGGTTTTCGGGGTGATTATTGTTATTGTCGTTTTATTTTGTTTTTTGTGGGGGGGGTCATATAAAATAATCATATATTAAACTATTAATTGGTATATCATCTTCTTCTTACAAGTTTAGATCATGAAGTTGAGACATGTAACAGAGGGCCAGGTCCAACGGCTGCCCCGTTCTACCGATCTAATAGCAGTCGAAACGCAGTAAACGAAAGGTATAAACTTATATAACGTATATTTTACTTTTTTCGCTAAATTATATTTCACTTTTTCTACTGCACTTTTACATAATAATTCGAACGAAAATGTCGAGATTGACGGTAAACCTAACCGAGCCTGATATATTTTCAGCCTAGTATGACGTTCTTAAATTAAAATTTCCATTTTAGATACTGCTTAAACCTGTAGAAATCTAAATTTCAAACTGGCGTGAATAACTAAACGTAAAGTAGTAACGGGACACCGTATGTCAATAGGCCTGCAATTATGCATATACATGTTTGCACTTTAAAAAATGCACTAAATTAGCATTTAAACAGCGTTATTGTGAATTTGTATACCTCTATAGATTCTAAGCTATTATTTGTCCTAGTTTTATGCTTGCAAAAGAAAATGATCAATTTATTCTCAAACTGAAATATCGATAACTCTGTTGAATCAACTGGAAACAATAAACGGACCAAACCCGATGGCTGATGTTCGTTCAGTGTTAGGGCATGCCTGTAACGTCACCATAACTTTATGACGTCCAACGTTCTGTATTCTATCCGCACTTTACAATAACATAATAATAAACGTTCCAACAGGAAAAATGTCATGTTTAAAAAAATAATGTCTGTATAAGAATGTACTTAAAATTTTCGACATTACGCGTTTCGCGACTATACACTACGAAATTTTGGCGGTCCAATAAAAATGTAAGTGCCCGCTCAGGTGGTCAATATACTTTTTCCGTAGGACCGCGACATCATCGTGAATATTATCTTTTAAAGCCCCGCTGACACTTTGAAATATAGATCAAGAAGAAACACATTTTTGTAAAGGATTATATATCTTTTAATTTAAAACAACAGTTTCTATTTGTATTTTGATATAGATTTTTCCTAACATTTACAATGGACATGTTCTATATTCAATATAAAGCAAGCAGAACTAAAAGTGAATTTAGCTGTTTCATTTCTCTTTTTATTTCTCGCTCAAACAAGTATATTACTTTAATAGATCCTAATGGTAAAATATCGATTAATATCAGGTAATAAGTAAGTAAGTAAATATTTTATTAAAGTGACATGTGCAAATATAAATAATGATGACAATATACAGTTACATAAAGGCATGCACCCGGCCCATTGGGCCTATAAGTCACATAATACTTGTCAAAACAGTAAACATGAAAACAATAAGCGAATCAATGGTCATGAGTATAGTAAATATACTGTATACAACAGTACAAGTTAGAAATTTTATTCATTTTAGTATAATAATTATAGGATTCAATACCAATTATTAATGTAACATTATGTTTACAGTGAAAGCATACTTTTAACGTACATATCTAGATATTTAGTATTACTTTAATTAGTATTACTTGAGATCAGTACAGTATACAAAAATACAAACATGTACATCATTCAAGAACTCGTTAACGTCATTCTGGCATAACTGTCTAGCAAAATGTGATTTAATCAAGAAACCTACATCGCCGATATACAATCTCATGCAATAACCAGCCTTATATGTTAATGGTATGGTAATATGTTTATTTTACATTAAAAATTACTCTGTTTAGTTATTATCAGTATTTTCAAATATAAAACATTTAAATATCTTTAATTTTTATAACAATTATCATATATATGATATAGATAACGTGTCATTTTGTTTTGCAGTATCGGACCAAATGGGGCAGTAGAAATACTGCTTGTTGGTGTAGGTGTTGTCGCAGTGATCGTTGTCTGTGTTGTTTGCAAGCGGTGGTGTTCGTAGTCTGAAATGTACCTCAGCATGGCACGTCTTGTCTTCATCCATCGACGTCACGACATCAAATAATGAGGGGGAAAATACACCAATAATGCTGCGTGATATTCCAATTGTTAATAAGCCTCTCATTCATGGTTGATGTTATTATATCGTGCAATAACTATGTGTCAGAAATGTGACATCATTCTTCAAGATGCTAACAATCACCATCCTCTTATGATGTCATCGGATTTATTAAGAGCTTGTCCACATAAATATGATATTGCTCATCTTTGACAACATTTGACGTGAACATCGTTATTGTGGGAAGTGTGACCTTCATTGCAAGGTCAACCTTGACTTCCTGGTCAGTACCATCCTGTGTTGACCTTAGCAAAACATGTCAACACAAATGAGATTTGTCTCTTTACTTTAATTGGTGGGACATTCGTCTTGTAGATGCAACTCGACTTCCTGGTCGACTAAATGGCTAGATATATATATTCGTGCACAAATTTGTCAACACATGTAAAATGTTTTTATTTTCTTCATGGCGAGACATAACATTTAGACTATGTCATTGAATTTTCGAGATATAGTAATATGAATTGCGACGCTTGTAGCAGAAAGCTTGGTCGTAAAAATTTCTTCCTTTGAGGCGTAATGATTTCTTTGGGGCGTAATGATTTCTGCCTTTTGGGCGTGATTTCTTCCTTTGGGGCGTAATAATGTCTTACTATGGAGCGTTATAATTTCTTCATTTTGGGTGTAATAATTTCTTTCTTTGGGGCGTAATAATTTCTTCCTTGTATAGTTCTTCCCACATTTACAAGGGATTTCCAACAAACTTTTACAAAATTTACGTCATCAAGTGCCCTGGTGCAGATTGCAGACATTTTTTAATTTGGTCATTTTTGGCACAGAACTGACCCTCTGTTATATATAATGTATTTGTAATTATGGGGTTTCTTTTTTCTTTTTTTTTTCTTTTTTTCTTTTTTTTTGGGGGGGGGGGGGGGTGGGGGTGGTCGGGTGTGTGGTGGTCTATTGACAATTTTCCAAAAGAGACACCTAATATTATGATAGATGTTACAGACAAATTTAAACATCATTTTCTGTTTTGAATAAAGTATCATGTTGAAAGTGGGTGTTTTTTAATGTTAAAACATATTTGTTTTATAGCTTGTTTGCCTTTGTACGATTTATAACTTTCACAGATTAACAGGTTTTACAAATGATAAAGTAAATTTTAAAAAAAACGAGGCACACAATGATGTGATGTGTTAACGTGGAGCGCTTCAGTTTTTACATGACACTTTCCCAAATCATCACGTCCAACAAGAACAACAATAATTTTACAATTATTTCATTCTCAACCCTTTTCATCTTCCTTACCAATACGAACTGTCATGTGACATGGGTATGAATACTGTTAAAATATAACCTTTCTCTAGTCGTGGGTGCCTTTTACGACGTTTTAAACAAAACAGTATACCTCTTACATGTAATATGTGACTTTACTGTGGTTTGAAACATTACAATTAATTAACGCATCACGTACATTCTTACTAAACGTAAACAAACTTTACGCGGACCGGAAGTAAGAAGGTATAAGGAAATACCAGCAATAATTCATATAAACAAATGTATTCCCCATTGTTACCCATGTTTTACAAGCTTGATTCACTAAGTTTATTAATCATATGATGTTAATTGACACAGCCGTACATGATCGGGACATTTATATATAATTAAGATCCGTAGTTTTATGATTTACTCATCATTTCCCATCTTCTGTTTACAATCACTTAAGAATATCTTTTTCTATATTTTATTTTACGTCTGTATTAAAGAAATGGAGCTGGCAGTGGGTTTTCTGCTTTTAAATGTTCTTCATTTTGGAATTTGTGGATTCATAAACAAAGGTAATTATTGAAATTTAACGCATTTTGTGGGTCTTAATATGTAATTATACTTTGTCAATCATCTATGTCGGAAATTGTCACAATTTATTAAATTGTATTTCGCGCATAATATGGGTAAGTTGATTGCTAAATAAAGGGAATTTAACAAAATAATTATAGCTACCTCAAGTTGCATTTATAGCCCACCTATGTACAATTTGAAAAGTTGCTGTAATTGCTGAGCGTTTATGTTGGAATCGCACTATTTTTTGTTGCGCATCGATATGTTCCTGGAGGAGAATCAATTTAAGTCAACAACAAAAACAGTTGCATTAGTGTCATTTGCTGAAAAATATAAAGCTGATACTGTAAAGTACGGATTATTTTAGAAAGTCAAGTCTTCTGATCTGTGAGCCAAAAAATATGCGTTTTCAATAGATAAAATTGATAAAATTGTGTCTTTAATTGGATTACTATACCAATTAGTACCATTCTTCGAGAGGTATAAGACGAAAATCTGCGCATCCTTTCAGACATGTTTCCGCGAGATAGCATGTTTGGTCAGCTTATTTTATAATTCAACGCCCCTTTAGGGAATCGAAAGCGGTAAAGTTCAATATAATCGAACATGATAGCAGTCTTAAAGTGTGATTAAAAGGTTATGCACATATTGAATAAACTGTATTCGCCATGTTAATACTAAAGTAAAAGGTGTCCCTTAACATTACACAAGACTAAACTTTAACATGGCGTTGTCCTGCTTTTCATTGCTTATATCAGGGGAGCTTTATTAATCATTAATTACATTGCAACGGAAAGGTGATTTAATTTGCAAACCATTTTAACGTCCTTTCGTGAACTGTATTATAAAACGAAAAAAAAGGAAACAAGCGCCTAATACTGCAAACTAAATGGATCTTTTAAAACCATGTACTATACATTACAATGATTAAAACTAATGATTCGAAAATAGCAACATTTTGTGATACGTGGACGGACTTCTTACGGCCGCCACATCGTATAATATCGCAATTACAATTTCTTGTTGCTGTCATTAAAACATTATATTTAACACGGTTTTATCATTTTTTATCAATTAGTCGTACATTACTTTTATATGTTTGGCATCAATCATTATAACATTACATTAATATGAATTTATCACGTAAAAAGTAAAACATCACGTATAAAATGTTTGCTGTCAATCACTTTAAGCATCACATTTTTGACAGGATTTTATAACTTGATACAATCACCAAATTAATAATAATTATGTTTGGAATAAAAAGAACACTTTACTACATTAACACGATCTATCAGCTACTAATTGTATCATGGCTTGGGGACCTTTCTATTGAAAATGTGTCAGAGTTAAGTCGTATACATATATATGCACAGTGCCTTAACTGGAGTGCAGATATTTAACTCAGTCACCCGCACTCCAGATCATGCCCATTGATTGGCTCATTTTTTTTTTCTAGGGTTTACTTAGTGTGACGGCAGAGAAAGGGATAGTAATAGAAATGTCACATTCAGATGCTCGTTCATTGGTTACTTTTGGTGACAACAGGGAACGTGTTTTTATTTGTTTGGGTCGTCAGACCAAACAAATAATGGTAGCGAAATTTCAGAGCCTAATGCTGTTAATTGCAAATGCCTAAAGTAGTCCACTTTTTTGAAGCGGTTACTTCCATTTATATGTACAATAACGCCGAAAAATTCAGGGGAGATCAATGCGTAAAGATTGTCAAATGACAGGCGCATTAATTTTCAAGCAAAATAGTTCCCGAAAGAACGAAGATTTCTAATATTGTTTAATTCTTTATAGATATACATGCTTACAGTAAGCTCCATGATTACTTACATCTGTGTTTAGCGTCGAAATAATAAGAGTTACAAACCCTAATTTAGAATAATATGGTTTTCTTCAGGCCATTGACATATAACTTCACCGTGGCCAAGAGGTTTGCACGCTAGCTTAAGAATCGAGGGGTCTGGAGTTCAAATCCCAGTTGGGGCAACTCATTTTTTTTTATATTTTTTTAAGTCAAATAAACATTGAATTGCATATCAGTGTTGCGATTAGTCTTATAGCCAATTTACTACAGTTAAAACACTGGAAAGCATTGGTGGCACTATACAAAAACAAATTGGTTTATAATCTCACAACCTTCACCTTTCTGACATTCTGAGACCCAAACAAATTCAGCGCCTTCTGTGCTTTGATTATTTTTGCCTATAATACAAAAGAGAAAGAACATCAAAACACTAGGCAATCTGATTTATACTCGGAGGGGGGTTGGGGGTTACGCTTCCTCGAATCAGATAGCCTCGTGTTCCAATGCTCTTTCTATTACTAGTATTTTAACACTTGAGCCGTCGAAGAGCGTACACATTAACATTTGTATAAAGCTTGATATTAGCCCAGATGCCGAGTAACTCAACGTCTTGTCAAAAACTCAGGTAAGCAGAAGACACTTTAAGCAGACGACAATTTTCTCAGCGTACAATGAATTGATAAGATGTTGCGTGTTTATTTTACAGGTTTTATACAGTTTGGCGTTGAATTGAGCGTGTTTTCCGGACGATCTAGTCCAACATGGGTTATTGACAGGAACAACCCCATGTATTCCTACATAGCTACAACAATCAACAATGCACGACCATCAAGGTTTCGTATACATTTGTGTTAGATTTATTCGCCCAACTTCAATGAGTATATTCTAAATACATTTTAAGCAAATGAGCGGAAACAATATGAATCCACAGAATTTTGTTTTCATTGCCTGTTACCATATTCCTTGGATAAGTATAAAACAATAAACTAAAAGATAAATGTGCAATTAAGTTTGCGATTTTGTATAAGCGTTTGTTTGGTGTAATTTGTGGTCGCTTTTTTGCCACCACTACATGTGTCTTGTTATGTTTTAAGACAAGGGCTAATTACAAGTTAGTGTTTGTAAGGAAATAACAGGTTGTTTTTACGTACATGCATAATATGATTGTTAGATGAGTGACAATACCAAGAACAATTTCCTGGTTTTGATGTCGTGAAAATGTATGTTTTGCTACCGTGAATATATAGTTGACGAAATGAACATTAATGTACAACTATATCATAACTAGTCCATACATTATAACTGGTCCCTTAATTTAGTAACAAAAAAGTAGTTCCGTACCTACTGAATAACCTAAACTTATGTAAAAATATCCTTGAGTATTTCATGAACCATCCAATCTCATTTCTTATTCATCAGGATGGGTGAGAAGCTTGGATACGGAGGTTTTATCGTGGAGATGAAGAACCCGATGGGTCAGCGAGTGTACAAGACCGTAGGGGCGGGTACGAATCCCAGATTAGAGTTGATGTTACTGAATTCGTCACCGTTTCCACTAGAGAGGTCAGTGCGTCGTCACGTGATAGATACCGTCAGAAGAATGGTAAGGGAACGACGAAAATCGTTAAAATTGTCACAATATGCTAGAAGAATATGAAAAGAAATGTGATCGCAACATGTTTAATATTGTTGTTGCTTACACTGCATGCGTGCCATATATTTTATATAATTGTTGACATTTATATATATTGATTATTATGCTGAAATACGTTGCGCTAGTAGCTAGATGGTATTAAAAACGAAAGGACGTTTTTCGGTTAGAATATGAGGAATATAAGCCGTTTTTTATTGAAATATGCTGTGTATAAAATCATATTTCTATAAACAAATACATATTTTATTTTAATATGCATAAACAAACAATTTGTAATTAACATTTTTATGGTAGAACAATATTTCATTTCTAGATGTACGCATATAATTATAATCATGCGCTTTAAAATGTCATACGCTTAAAATAATCATACGCTTTAAAATATCATACACATCAAAATATCATACGCTTTTAGTTACCAAATAAGTTGACATTTATGTCATTTTTTTTAGATTGGTCATGCCTTTTTTAGAAAATGTAATGTAAATGTTTGTAAATATAAGCAATATTAGTGCTAATGAAATAAAATATTCTATTTCAACACTAGTTGCTTTTTATCTACACTTTAAATTGTTCTGCCCATTTTCCAAACGCCTTCCAGACACCGCTACAACCATATATAACCCTACAAGCAGGGTTTCCGAGCAGACCGCCTTTCCCTATGCAAAGATGTCGAATTCCGCGGTACGACCCTGAAACTTGGAATGCCTCGCCGACCATCCGGCAAAATAATTGTTATAATTATGCCACACAAAGGCCGACTGGTACCTTTGCTCAGCCGGGTAAGATACTTTGATGTTTATTTTCTGTTTATGTAAACACATATTAATTCATTTTATTTTTCTAATTCATGTTCTAAGAAATTGAAAATTTTGGTTCTGTATTGCGTTCAATGTCTAAACTTCAGTTTGGAGAGGCGAAGAGTCATGACTATCTGTTCTGGGCCGGAAGTTAAAATTTTGACCAAATAACACGTTATCTTTGACGTCTTACTTGATAACGTTCTTTTCAGAAAGTCCCTGATCACTGATTTTTAAAAGCATTTTCCTAATTAAATACATTTGTACGAATTTACTTAAGAACTCGATTCTCATGTTGTTGTGTGTATCAAAATATGTAGATCTTTTCGGATATATGTTATCTTCGGATAAATGGTTCTCTTTTAGACATATTCTTATCTAATTTAATATAATCTTTCAAATAACGTTTTTGGTATTGTTATAATGCCACTATTTATTTATAGGACGAGCTTCCGGTCGAAGATTCTCTAGACCAATCACAGTACGCGGTATTCTTGGCGCTACTGTCAGTGACGGACTGGTTCCATTACCTTTCTTTAACCCTCGAATGTTTCCCGGAAAATGTTATATGGCTTTGGCCGTCTGGCCGGAAACTGATTATCATTTCTATCGGTTGGACAGCAACATGTTGTGGTCTCATAAACCTGGTAAAACCGCGGTCAAGAATACGGACAATAGCGGTAACCTTATTTCTGACCCTAAAACTGCGGATAGAGGAGAATATACTGTATTTGTTGGTTACTTAGGCAACCATCCCGGTGTAAGAGTTCTATAACATTCATCAACTACATTATAGTACTTTTTTGTTAATATATTTTTTCATCTAACATGGTCTAGATAGTACATGTATTTTGATATTTATTGTGAAGTCTTTTATACTTGTACGTGTTCAAATATTGCTCTTTGGACATAAGCATAACATCTAAGAGGTCCGACTATAACAATTATTTGTTCGATTAAAAATTTAAAAAAAAATGTAAAAACTCAAGTTTTTTTCATATTTTTATTAATACATGTTCTAGTTGTTATTAATAATTATCTGACTTCAAATCTGAAAAATAAGTCTTTGTCCGGATGAACAACAGCGTGTGCCCAGTCGGTCACAAATCTCAAAGTTCGAGTCTCTGGTACCTTTGATATTCTAAATCTATGCAACATAATGGCGGTGGCTATTTTAAGCTCCAGCCAAGCCAGATGCTGACCTATGCACACCCTTGAACCGGCGCCAAATGGTATGTACATTTTGGAGGACGTTCGTTCAGAATTGTCTAAAAATCTGAACGGAATAAATTCCTTGGATTTTGACCATTGTGTATGTGACCGGTGAATACCCCACGTAAATGCTTTGATGTCCGTCTGTAATACATAAAAATAGAATTATCATTGTTTGTTAAATATACCATGTATTTTCAAATGAAAAACGATCAAAATACGCAAAATTGTACATAGATTTTTTAGTGCGGAAATCACTTATTTAATTACCCACTGTGTCTTTTAGTATAATTATGACAATCTAGTTCTTTAATATAAGAATATCAACTGAATTGTTGGTCAGGACAACTTTGAAATTGTAAAAATAAATACCAGCAAAGAGAAATATTTCCCCCTACAAGTGTGGTCGAATAGCTTTACGCATGATTTTTAAACAAAATAAAAAAATAACAGATTAATATTTTTTAGTTAAAAATAAGCAGCGAAAATTTAATTATGTTACATTTAGAATGGATGGCGGAAAAAAATGACGATGATAAAAACGATCTAGTCTGGTTCCCTGCCTACATTTACTACGGAACGTAGTGTAAGGGGAAGGAATTCCAGACTAAATACGATCTTGCAGAGTGGCCGGACATGGAACTTTTTAAATGACTCAAACAAATAATAAACAGATACAAAGTGAATGTAGTACAAGTCAAATACTGTACATAAATTCGGACAGATAAACATACGATGTTATCATGTATGTTTATAAAGGACATGCCTATAATTGGATATATTCTTTTTATACATACGCTCGCTGGAAAGGTAAAATCCCCGACATTGACTTCCTCCAGCGTCTGTCTGCTGATGAATGGAGCTATAGGGTAAACACGTAGAACTTCTTTCAATACAGCTTCAAGCTTTGGTAGAGAGAGCGACGGGTCTTTATACAAAGCGTCTATATTATCGTCTGCTTCAGCTCGGAGTTCTTCCTGATAAAATGATGTCAAACATTTCAGAAATTACAAGGATCTTTTTTTTAATTATGATGCTTAATATTCGATATAAATTCAATGGCAATTGTAAAATAACATAAGTTGCTTTGTGTGTTTCGAACAATGTTGCATTCTATGACATTTGGTATGAAAATAGTTGTCGTCTGCTGAGAAGCGCGTGATATGACTTTGCCCGCACTATTTTACTCCGTTCTAGCATTTTAAAATGTCATCACGAGTATTGTTTTGGTCACTCTAGAAATTCCATCAGACCTTAAACTAGAGTTAAGGTAATTCATTCATCAATAGCTCGTGTTAATTCGACAAACCTCGTATCTTTCCGTATCTGATATTTCTTTAAAAAGCGTTTAGTTGCCTTTATTCTCCTGATCATGTTGACGCTTACTAGTATTTGGGTTTGACAAAAAAGACACGGAAAATTCAGAATTATGCCGAACTTTCATTAGCTTCTAATGTTCTTATACGGTATAAATATTGAAAGGACGTTCAATGAGAAAAAATCAAAGTGATGAACTAGAAAGGAAAAAAATCCAAATACCTGAACATCCGTGTGTGTGGTTAGTAAGTAGACCAAGACGGGTATTGTTGCTGCAGTGGTCTCTGAGCCAGCCATTAAGAATAACTTCATATTATCTCGAGCCTATATTAATATATGTATAAATTAATTAATATTAATATAATCTTAATTAATTTATATAATCTAACAAAATGACTATAGTCTTTAAGGATAGCAACATTAACATACTTGGACATTAACGAGCTAAGAAACTCTTTTTGATAGATGAAAATATTCCGCAGATGGATTTCCATGTGGTCGTTTCCTAAAAATATCTTTGAAAAATCAAGGGAATACATGTAATATTAAACATATACACCTATATGTGTTTATCATGTATATTAAATAACAGAAACATTCTGCGTTACAATTCTTTCGAGGACCGACCTTAAGGTAATTATAACAACATAATTTTATTGTTTTCAAATTCTATAAAAATATTTCATTAGATACATGTGCATATAAGATATTTAAGTTGTTTCTAAAAATACAGGATTTATTTTCATCGAGTGGTATGAAAATAAATATTTCATGAGTGGCGGTAGCCAAGAGTGAAATATGATAATTTTCGTTGCACAAGATGCAAATTAATCTTGTTTTTAGAGAAAGAATTTGAATTTTGTGTTTATCATATACATTTTTATCTTTTTTTACATTAAAATTTGAAATACTTCACCTTAAATTTTGTGTATTGGCTGAATTTGAAAGAAAGTAGATCGGCAAGACACCAGTGAAATTACGGGAAATATATTTCACTGCAGTGAAAAATATGGCAAATGTAAATACACATCTTATTTCATCAATATTTCTTAATATATCATTTATAAGGATATAATAAAGCTTTATACTCTTTAATATAAAGTTTATTATTGAGTTGCTTTTTAAAATAGAAGTAGCTTATCAGCATTTAAATGTGAATGCACTACATGTATTTAATTGTAATTAGAATTTAAATAATATGATAGATTTGATATAAAAGTTATTTTTTTCTTTTTTTTTTCATCTTGTGAAATGTTGGCCTACTTTGTAACAGATATCATTTACAACATCAAATTCAGTTGTTAATTGAATATTACTTATATAGCTTTTACGGGCCATCAAATTTAAGTTATCAAAATCGCATGACTTTTGCATTAAAGACAAAGCGGTTTAAAATCGCCAATATGAAGACAAATTTGCAATAACTTTACGTACATATACTTATGTGAACGTTCCAGACCTATTTAACCTCTTATAACTTTTAATTGAGATGAAGTCAGAAATAGAGTATTCTTTAAAATACACATGTATAACCATACTGTCGCAAAATATATTACCAAATCAAAGCCACACGCTTCGTGTAGTTTAACGACCAGTCTTTTCTCCTCGTGACGGTCTTCTATTTTTAGAGCATCTGCTAAGATTTCGGTTGTGAGTTTTTCAAACGTTGCATTTGCTTCTTTAAACTCTTCACTGTCGGCGGTGATCTCAGCCAATGCATAGCACCTATAATATATCAGTAAAAAAGATATAAAGTGAGATATTTTCTAAAAGGCAGAATGCTTCAATGTCAAAACTAATAAAAAGAAATTAAACGTAGAAGATAAATCTGAGAATCATAGTTTTAAAAGGCGTTTAAAGTATTGTAATATATGGTACAAGAATGTGCATGTTTGAGGATATTAGCAGAAAATATGGAAATTATCTTAATAATTGAACATGAAAACATCGCCACAGAAATTAATTTAACATATAACATATATTATCAGTGAAAATCGGCGGCATTCTACAGTCAATACATGGCCAGACGAGGAAAATATATATACTTTACGTTATCATTTTGCCATAGACCTTATTTGTTTTAAGAATCTTTTATCTTTAGACTGAACCTGAAAATATTTTGTAAAGTCACTGATTCTGTGTGATATTTTACTGATATATTGCAGGAATTACCTTCAGATGAAAGTTACAAACTCCCCATATCAAAAAGCATACCCCTGTGACTTTAAGCACTCCCTTAACCCTTCTCTATACACTTAAAAATGAAATCAGAAATAACTGAAAAATGTACAACAAACCTGTGTAATATAGTCATCAGACACTCTAACAACAGTTCTTGTTTTCCCTCTAGCGCGTGCATGTCTAGCTGTAGTAACATGTGACCTACCACGTCCATCGCCATACGCAGTGACCAGTCCGTAACATTTACAAGCTGACCTGTGTAGCATGATTGTTTTATATAATTATGTAAAATATGTTTGCACCAAAATTACAAAATGCATACAAAATATATATTTGCATGAAGGTGATATGAATTGTTATTTATAGAAACGAAATTAAGTTATTAATAGATACTAAATTTTTACTAAATTCAAGATATACAGGTTTTACGTCCGCCGTAACAATGGCAAATAATTTTTGCTAAATCAACTTCAATTAACAAAATAATAATTACCTGAGTTTGCTTCGTCCTCTATTTTATCACAAAATGTCTCTACATCTTTAATAATAAGGTTTCCTTTTTCCTCGAGAACAGATTTTCTAAAGATGGTCGCAATCGCTCTCCGTACTTCTGGACTCCGATTTGTGGAACCAAGTATTGTGTCTTTTAATGGAGAGTTTTCTAAATAGTCATGTGCACCCTTTTCTAATTTGTTTATAACGGTCTGTGTTAATTTATGGTCGAATATATATACTTTATTATCAAACCGGAATAATCCGAATTTCTCGTAAAAATCCGTGAGAAACTCTAGTTTTAGTAAGTTATCGTCGTTGAACACTATATCTAGTAATTTGTTAACAACAATGCCAGCCTCTGGAATGTGTCCCTTTTTATGCGGCAACTACAAATGGATATACATTGAAATCAAAGCACTGTATGTACTGATTTTATTGTGGTCACAAGAAAGCGATATGTTTTTGGCATCTTGACATTACAGTTGTTTTATCTGAGCCATTAAACCTGTTTATTCATTATCAACAATTTTTCTATTTAACAAAAAGCATCATAACAAATACTGTCACAGTGCAAGATGCATATAAACCTGAATAAAAATAATTTGTTAAATTTGTTCGATAATTTGTACGACATTATTGTGTACAGAAGTATAAGATTTATTCTTTTTACAATAGATCTAAGTATTAATGTCTAAGCCACAACTTGTCGATCGATGTACACTGTTTGAACTAGATTTAACCAACCACATCGTCGGATACCCACGGCCGAACCATTAACATTTATTTGATTACTTGACCAACCTCTATGAGTCGTTCTCAAGCCAAAACTTAATCTGTTGGTAATATCCGCACTACGGTGGCACAATGGTGACATGTGTGTGTTTTTATTTATCTCGTGCGCACGAGATACTACGTCGTGGCCACGAGTTACTAAGTCGTGGCCACGAGTTACTAAGTCATGGCCACGAGATAGCTAAGTCGTGGCCACGAGATACTGTGTCGTGGCCACGAGATAGCTAAGTCGTGGCCACGAGATACAATGTCGTGACCACGAGTTACTAAGTCGTGGCCACGAGAAAGCTAAGTCGTGGCCACGAGATACTATGTCGTGGCCACGAGTTACTAATCAAATCAAATTGATAATGTTTTTTATAGTGAAATAAAAGTCTTACCAGATACCGTAGACAGCTGAGAAGAGCAAGTATACACCTCGCTAGAAGCTTGAGTAAAGGCATCTCTAGATAAAAAATAAATATTTAGATTTAATATCATTATAAGTAATAAATCATATGTTTATCAATACGAAAGTGATTCGTACGAAGTTTATATTATTACGTTGCGCATAGCATAGATGCATTGAAGACAAACATGTGTATTCATTACACTATACATGTACATGTATATATATTTATGGTTTATTCTCCACGTAATGAAATATGATAAAAACGACTTAATTGTAAGAAAAGAAATTTTTTTAGTTACATACCTCTCCCGGAAATCCTGATTTTGCTATAAGATATAATGCATTGGATCTTGAATATTAAATGTACACGTGTGGCTATTTTTACCGTATATCTATTTTTCAGTATGTTTGTTTCCCATGGTCAAGGTATTAAGATAATTATCTGCATAGGTCAAAGGGGGTTTACACGGTATAGTATTTCTTCGTGTTAATGGGATGTCATGTCCACGTGTCTTTCGGTGTAGTAATTTTATCAGTGTTGTTGCATTACAATCTCCAACGTTATCTAGGATTGCAAACAGTTTAGGAATACCCGCAGTATTCGTCGCTCAAACGTCTCAAAATGACTGAAAGTACTGGCGTAAAAGCTGAATCTACGAACGCGATCGTAACTTACGATGGGATTTTCAAAGGCATGTACGATGAGAAACTGCAAGAAATGTTCCAGGAAGGTCGCCGGAAGTTTGCTGGCGGAGATTGGCCTGGTGGAATGAAAATATTTGAAAATATGTTGGAGATTGCAAGTGATAAATCAAAGGATAGAAAAACTCTTGAGGAAATAATGAACGAGTTGAAACGATACGAGGCGTGCAGAATCGAACCTGGAACCCAGCCAGCCAAAAGCATAGACTGGTCAGCAGTTGCAGACAGACCGTTAGAGCGACTTCATGAATCTTTCTTCGGATTACCACAAGGTGTGTTCTTCTTGGATGTCGGGCGTCATGGGAAACCTGGATCAGTACGTCTTGTCGGGAAAAAACTTCTCTCGGACTATTTTCTAGCTTTCAAAATTCCTGAACTTTTCTGTAGTTTGGTGAAAGCTGATATGATATTAGGCTTATATGTTGACCAACGTATGAGTGACTCAAATGTAACAATTTTCTATAATCCAATAGAAAAATCTGAAAAACTTCATGTTATGCAGAAAATAATGTCAAATGGAGGAGCAGACGCCGAATTGATATTTCCGTTTCCGCTTATGCGCAGTACGACGCGATGTGAATGGGGTTCCCCACCGGAAGGATGGGAAGTTGACGACTCTTATGATATCATGCTAGGATGCGGTGAGGAACGGATACGAGCTTATTCAATTCAGTTTCTACGATCTGTTGGACTTGATAAACCAATACTATACGACCCTGCTTGTTCGACAGGGGTATTTTTATCCACGCTTCAGCAAGCAATTCCCGGAAGTTACACAATCGGCCAAGATCTAAGTCAGCAGATGGCAAATTTCGCAAAAGACCGAGTGGACGAAGCCCATTGTGCAAACGCTCTGGATCCAAAGATAAAACTCGGTACCGCCGATGCAGTATACATAAGATTTCTAAATTCGGAGGTGATAAAGACGTGTGAGGCAGAAGAACTTTTGTCGGCGTTGTTGCCTACAGTTAAAAAAGGCGGATACATAATAACATTTGGTCATACCCCTGTTTTACTATCATCGTCAAATTTTAGACAGCTGTCGGGATTTCAATTCAAGCAGTCCGTCGGAGTGGCTGTTGACAAGTGTGGTATTTTTCAATACTACGTGATCCAAAAGTCTTAAAATAATAATGCAATTTATTATTTATAGCTGTTCACTTTACAGACATTTCTGTCCAGCAAGAAATTCTGCAAATTGTGCTTTAGATGATGTTTGTCTATTAAATTTGAAGTTGATTGATGAAAGAAATTTATATGTTGCCTGTACTCAATAAAATAAGTTGAAATATTCACTGTTCTATTGATTTTTGCCATTTTTGTACCGTTTGTCTTCCGTTATTGAATATTCACATAATCCTGGTACGTATAACTATATTATGTGTCGTACACACATTTTCTTATGCATGAAGACTGTTTGACCATGGGTTAATGGAGAGAACAATGTCAAATGGAGAGGCAGACGTCGAATTGATATTTCCGTTTCCGCTTCCGTGCAGTACGACACGATGTGAATGGGGTTCCCCACCGGAAAGATGGGAAGATGGCGAGTCTTATGATATCATGCTCGGATGTGGCGAGGAACCACTTAATATTATTCTGTCAATTTTAGATGATCTGTGCACGGAGAGCTACATATCATAAAGTCCAACCATGAATGAAAATATTTCCATTTTTAAAAGCTTTTTTATATTTAGGTACCCTGCTATAGCTTCCGAAATTTGAATCATTTGCCAATTACCTGAACCACCTTTTGATATTGTTGCTTTTTGACAATGTGTACAAATATAATGATTATAAGAGTTTGATATGGAAGTCAATGTACTATTTTTGTTCCATTTTTCTTCTTTTATGACAAATGATTTCACATTCAGCGTTTCTTTCATCAGGTGATTAGCATCTAAAATGCTCTTAAACCGTAATTCAAACTTTATAAAAGTTGTGTCCCCTTTATAAAAGAAGGGAAACTATCTCTAATTCTGAGGCATAATGAGGCAAATGCTGTAAAACCTAATAAGAGAAATAGATTTGTCCTTTAAATAATTTCCGGCGTAAGAGATGCAGATCTGTCCGACTTTGCGAGCTGTTGTGACTAAAATTTCAAACTTTGACCACAAACACGTTTTTTTATTATTAGAATGTAATTTAAACAGTAATATACTATAATGCCGTATCATTAGAATGTGATTTAAACAGTAATATACTATAATTCGTATTATTTGAATGTAATTTAAACAGTAATATACTATAATGTCGTGTTAATAGAATGTAATTTAAACAGTAATATACTATAATGTCGTATTATTAGAATGTAATTTAAACAGTAATATACTATAATGTCGTATCATTAGAATGTGATTTAAACAGTAATATACAATAATATCGAATTATTTGAATGTAATTTAAACAGTAATATACTATAATGTCGTATTATCAGAATGTAATTTAAACAGTAATATACTATATAATGTCGTTGACACAAGGGCTTGCTTTTGCTCAGGTCGTTGGTGGTAATTTGAATTTGTTTAAGAAAAAAGATAAAATTGGAGAAAAAATCTTTGAATTGCAAGTCAGCTTAAGTTTATCTCTCTTAGAATTCTAGAGAATTATTGATTCGTATTTGCCCGTTGTGTAATGTTTGGTGACTGATTGTGCCAGGCGAAACACGAAAATACGACAAACCTCCGCGGAGCGAAAATACAACGAAGCTTCGGGGAGCGAAAGTACGACATGTTGACTTTGTCGTATTTTTTACGTTTTCGTCCAGCGCCCCGCGGAGAGAAAATACGACATAGCACAAATCAGTCACCATAGTAATGCATGCAACGTTATACTAGTGTCTGCTCAGTGTCAAAGCCCTTTTAAATCATATTGGATCTTAAATTCATAATAGTTAACACCTTTCGAAAATAAGGATATCTTAACCCCCTTTGTATGCAACGAAATTGTTCTACTTCGGTTTGAGACTTCTGTTGTTATAGTCGTCACAAGATCTTGATTGCAAATGTTGTTCAGTAGGAAAATGATGTATATTGTCTAGAACATTTCAACTTCATAAATTTCCGATTTCATCTTCGTGAATTGACGATTTTCACTTTTCAGCACACGGAATTCGCGAATTCAACTTCATAAATTCACGATTTCAACTTCATAAATATTCACGATTTCGACTTCACAAATTTAAGTTCGTGAAGTTTAAAACGTGAATTCATGAAGTTGAATTCATGAAGTTGATATTGCGAATTCGAGAAGATGAGCCCGAAATTTCAAGCAGTTTAAATGTCACCACCGGTCTTTCATAATTGTCGGCTGCTCCGTTTCTTCATTTTTATACTAATATCCCTTAAACTTCTTTTCGACTGACCAAAATTCATAATATGAGAAGTCCATTGCACAAAATCAGTGGAGTCGGGTTGAAAGACCATGTCACTGACTTCAATATCCCGGCTCAGGCTTTTTTTTTACAAAACTTAATATGATTTGGAGACAATGTGAAAAACACGGTATTACCTTGATTAATATGGTACATGTACGACAAAATAGCAGACACATTAATTTTGTCATAGTGAACAACAACAGAATTGGCTTTTAACTTATTTTTAATATTGAGAAAACCGTGGGAAATCATCTAAAATGCTATACAAGTACATATATATGTGATTCCTGATGAAGGTTACTGTAACTAAGTTAAGAAAAAGTATATGAGAGCACGCTAGAAACGGCAATAATTGAATTATGATGTCCCTTCGGCCTGCTGTCTGCAATTGATTTAATCCATGTAACCACTGCAAACCGAGATCAGCTGGCACATCCGAGACCATTTATAATACAAATCTTTATAGCGCAGTAAGGGTGTAATGCTCCTAACATTACAAGTTTTAGACTAGTATGTAATGTCTGTAATTAAATAGTATGTATGTAATTGTCCATTTTATTTAGCTCTCAGCTTTTAATGAACAACGTGTGATAACCATTTGAAAACAAGAACTTGATAAGTATTAGCCCTAAAATTACGATAGCAAGTTTCTTAAAAAGTTCTATCCAGCCGTCGTAGAGTCCGTCTCGTTCATGGTCCCCTGCTTTTCTTGTTTGCATTGGGTACCAGGTCTTTTCCTCAACGCGACTGATGGCATTTCTTGCACCTTCCCACTTTCCAGGACCTTCAAGTCTCCACTGCGGTGGTGTTGCGGGGTTGAATACCACCTTTGACCATAGATTGATATCTTTGAAAAATAGTTTCCAAAGATTTGGCCTACATCCGATGAACTTAGCGACCTCGTCTATATATTGAATGAAATATATTTGCGTCGTATATCTCGGTGAGTCAACGTATTTCTGTTTCACAAATTCCCGCCATTTCTCTACAGCGTCCAATCTTTTAGCGTTCGTTGGCAGTTGACTGCGACCAGCAAACACGTGTGCGGCCCATCTTGCTTGAGCTTCAAGTACTGGGGGCAGGGGACCAAACGGCTGGACTAGTCCAATAACTGCTAATGTAGATGGGTTTAGTTCTGTTGGCCAAACCAGCTTATAAAGATACGAAAAGTGACCATCCCTTTTTATAATGGACTCATCAAGAAATGGAAAGCTATAAACATATCCTGTTCCTAAAACAACAACATCGATGTCCTTGATCTGTGTGCCATCAACAAAAACAGCGCCATCTTCAGTAAAATGTTTGACGTCATTGTGTATACTTATAGCACCAAGAAGAATTCTATTTGGCAAGTCGTCACTTATGGTAACACCGGCAGACTCAAAATTGAAGTTTGGGGACAGGCCATAGTTTCGGTGCCTGTAGCGATGATTTAACTTGTAGAAATGGTACGGTCTCATGAGTTTCCATGATAACGACTGCCGGAAGCGCGTGATAGCGATATGGTCGTATGGAACTCCGAAGTCTGCTGCACGTTGAATTGTGTACGTTCCACGACGTGTACTCATGTAGACCTAGAGATACATAAACGTCTGTGTAAACAGAAATAGATGTGTTATAAAACATTTAATCGTGTATTTTTATATACTTTATTATGGCTGAAATAGGCAGCCATTTTCTTAAACTACAAATGATCATTCTTTTATAAATTATGTAAATGACATAGCTACTCATTTGAAAAAACGATTTTGCAAAATGAGGAATTTTGGCACACAATAAATCATATAGTTAATGCAATTGAAATATGGTATTGTTAATGTTGTATTAGTTGAGCAGTATTATATGAAAATATATCAAATAATCCTCACGTGTTTAGCATGACGACTTAGCTCACATCCGACATCCGCAGCCGAATTTCCTATCCCTACAATAAGTACATTTAGATTCTCAAAACCTCTGAAATCCTGAAAAGCAAATTGGATTTGTGCTTAAAAGTTAACAGCAAAAAGTCATATATTTTTGTATTTACGCTTCAGCATAAATATAAATGGTACATAAATGGTACCGATATTCTAAAATATAAAAATGCACATCATTTATTAGTTCTATGTCAGGAATAAATGATTTAGCAAAAAGGCTTCAGTTTACAGAAAAATTATTTTCTTTAAATATTATGCTTCAGAAAATAAATAATACTGACAATAAACAAAGTAAGGCAGAATATAACTTAAGCAATACAAAGTATTTCAATTCTTATTACAATACTCGTATGTATGATAAAAGATTTAAATGGTAAAAGACATACACTCGAATAATGCTCGCTACTGTAGCATCAACTCTTCATGTTTGCTTGTTTGTTTAAATGATTGGGTTTCTTGTAATTGCTATATTGCTTAGAGTGGGTAGTTTGGTAGACTGTTATTTGATGTTGTTGTGTTTTTGTTTATTTGTTTTTGTCCATGTGTTGTTGTAATTGCTATACATGTACTGTTTCCAGTGGGGTAGTTTGGTAGACTGTTATTTGATGTTGTTGTGTTGTTGTTTATTTTTTGTTGTCCATTTGTTGCTGAAGTTGTTGTTCTTGTAGTAGAAGTTGTTGTTGTTGTTGTTGATGACGATGATTATGATGATAATGATGGTGTTGATAATGATGACGATGATGATGTTGATGATGAAGATGATGATGTTGATGATGACGATGAAGATGATGATGATAATGATGATGTTGGCGGTTGTTTCAGTTTACTTATTTGGACGAAAGAAGTACCTACCTTATAGTCATGCGTATGTAGAACCTTGCCTTTAAACTTCTCCAGTCCTGGTAAACTTGGTTTGTTAGGTTCCGTCAGATGACCATTGGCAATCATTACAAAGTCAAACTTTTCTTTACTTGTTTTGTTACTTTTCAAATCTCTAGTGGTAACAATCCATTGGCCGGTCTCTTCAAAATTATCTGCTTTTTCTACTTTTATGACTTCAGTCTGGAATAGTGTTTCAAATTACAAAGAATGCATTACAAAATGAAAGATGTAACATTAATAAATTAATAAAAGATAAATGAATAAATAGTCAGTTAAACAATCAAAAATGATAATTATCTAATTATCATTAATCATTAATTAATTAATTATTCCAAAATGAATGATATAAAAATAAATAAATCAATCAATTGATCAATATCAATTGTCAAAACAGTCGATCTTAAGTTCCAAGCAAAGGATTTTAGTTTTGGTAAATCGTTTAAAGTTGTGCACATGTCACACTGATTAAAAAGGTCGATTTACAAATATCGTAGCTTAAAACTACCTGTAATTTGATATAGTTCATCAAGTCAAAGTTCTCGGCATAGAGTTCGAGGTATTTCTTGAAGTGTGTATGATGCATGAAGTTGGGAAAGTCTTTCGGTATTGGGAAGTCACTATAACACGTCATCTCTTTACTCGTGTTGATACTGCACGAGTTATAGAGGCTAGGTTCCTGGTCATTGGACGCATAGTCTCTGTAGTGCCACAATCCACCTAGAATATGAGTATGAACTTATGACTTGTTTGTACTACAAGAAAAACTGTTCCTCGTTTTGAAAACATATACAATTGTATATAAATTAGAGCGACCCACCATGGTCGGGAGTTCTACGTCAACTTGCTTGTAACCGTAATTAATGAACTCGTTGAGGCCTCTGTGTACATTTTAATGTCAGTTGCAAATTGTTACAATATTGTACTTTGAATAATTAAAGGTAAATTTCGCTATCTTAAAGTTGATAGAAATTAGTCAAAATACGATGAACTTCAAACGCTTATGAATGGGAAAGTGTATTACAGATTAAAGAAATAAAATATTGGTCATCATTTCCCTGCATAATGATTAACTTTATTCAACATAATATGGCTTTATACAATAAAACCCTTTGCTAAAAAGAAATAAAAATAAACTTAAAAACCGTTGAAAATAATGAGAGAGTACCTTACAGGAAACTGCATCTTCTAAAAAAGTAAAAATGTAGAAAAATAGCATGCTGGGAGCTAAAAATTTAATTGACTAATGCCGTTAGTAAAGAGCTACGCCAGTCTTCAAGTCCGTTGTTTTTTTGTTGTTGTTGTTTTTTTCGGGGGGGGGGGGTTGTTGTTTTTCACATATATTTCTTTTGTAAGCTATGCTAAGTCGAGCTTCAAAGTTTCAAACTGGTCCAGAAAAAAAACTTATACAGAAGGGTAAATTAAAGAGACTTATATTAAAGAACAAACCAATATCAAAGTCCTTCTCAAAGCAGACAGGTTTGATCCCCTCTTCTAGGCACTGCTTGACACCCGCCAGGCCAGCTACCCCCGCCCCTATCACACAGCACGTCTTTGACATCAGGAATCTCAACTAAATAATAAAACTGAATAAACTTTTAATTTAATTTAATTTAGTAAGGTACCTTTTCTCAATAAATTTGTTTGAATGCACGGGGATGTCGTGCGATTGTGTGTAACATCAATGTTTTATCTTCTTAATTTTAGTTATGAAAGACACTATACAACATCGTTCCAATATATATATAAGTGAAAGACGTGTCATTATAACATGTATTTATTCTTTTCCTATATTTTTCATTATTTTATTCCATTCAGTCAAATTGTTAAAGAACTATTTTTTCCTGCATGATAATCATTGGATTTGTGATTTGCAATTCAATTATTAGATTACGAAAATACGTATATTTCTGCTTATTAAAGCATTAACTTAATATTTCATACATATCTATAAAACGCACATCATTGCATACAAAAAAAATCATAAAATTAAAAGAAATGTTTTAAACAGAATTCTGTACCTACCGAAGTAGTGAAATCTTCCCCGCGATCGAAATAAGTACGAAAGAGTAATTTCAGTTTATGGTTTTATTTAGAAATGTCATTCCATTCCTTTCTTCTCAAACCAGCTGTTAATTCCCAAAGTTTTATAACTCTGTTATGAAATGGCCTCTAACTTTTGTGTAAAAATGCGTAAAATGACCAAACAAGTGTCTCGTTAAGTACGAAAGTTTCTTCTTAATCAGGAGTAACTACTACAATTATCTCCCCGTACACCTTACTTCACAGTCAAATTTGTTGGGAAATAATGATGTTAAATGTTGGGAAAAGAAATCTGGTTTAACGAGAGGCTACTTAATTCAAACATAACTATTTAGTGCAAATTAATTCAAAACAATATATTAAGTGAACAAATTAAGGTATACACATATTTTAGCAAATGGCACATGAAATACACAATATACTAGTTAATTATTTGAACCACCTTTGAGTCTTGACAGCTTTAAATAGAATTATTTAAATATAATTATTTACTAGAACTTATCAGTTCTGGCATCAAAGCCGTCATTCCGTTCCTTTTAATAAGGAAATTAATTCAGCGTATTTGCTCGTGCATTAACAGTGCACAAAGAAAGACATAGGATGATTTTTGTTTTGTTTTACGTCGCACACTCACAGTATAGGTCATATGGCGACATTCCAGCTTTACTGGTGGAGGAAGACCTCAGGTGCCCTACCATGCGTTAATTCAGGCACCTGAGTAGAACCACCGACGTTCCGTAAGCTAGCTGTAAATCTTGCTTACATGAAAGAACCAAAAGTTCCTGTCGGGATTCAAGCCCACAGCGATGAGGGACAAGTGGTTTAAAGTCAACGACCTTAACCATATGGGATAAATAACTACAAATGTATAGAAGTTTAAAGGGACACCACTGAGTGTTTTTACATGACCGTATAGAAAGCGAATGATCTGAAATGTTGCAAATAAGTTAATAGTCTAGTCCTACATTAAATGAAATACTAATCTCGGGAAAATATTTCAAGTCCCGTCATGTCAAAGAAAAATCAGTAGAGTCCCTTTTAACTTATATAATTATTTATCCCATATGAGATCAAATGAACTGGGAGCAAATATCAACGTTTGTGAAGTCTATAAAATTTCTGATGACAATATTCAACGTACTAGTATGTAACCTTTTATGACTTTTTTCTTTTCGAGTAAGTTTTTTTTTAGGTGCATTTTCTCATCCAGCTGACAAGAAACTAACATAGTCTTTGCGAACTGCACTGAGGTCCAAAGCCTATAAATTAAATAATCATAAGTTCTTATATAGATCAACTGGGATACTTAAAACAGAAAATATGCAAAAGATAATGGAGAAAGAAATACACTCAAAAATAAATTGAAACAAGAGGGCCATGATGGCCCTAGATCGCTCACCTGAATTATCAAACTCATCCAAACAATTACCTAGACAAGCATTCTGACCAAGTCTCATGACAGATGAGTCAAAAATGTGACCACTACAGTGTTAACAAGGATTATCCATATTTGAGCAGTGCGACCTAGTTTTTTACCCAGGTGACACATATTCAAACTTGACCTAGAAATCATCAAAACAAACTTTCAGACCAATTTCCAGGATACTTGGATCAAAACAGTAGCAACTAGAGTGTTAACAAGATTTTTCTATTTTTAGCTCCGGTGACCTAGTTTCACATGCGATTTCGAACTCATCCAAGCAATTACCTAGACAAACATCCTGACCAAGTTTGATGATAATTGAGTCGAAAATGTGACCACTAGAATGTTAACAAGGTTTTTCCATATTTGGGCGGTGTGACCTAGTTTTTCATCCAAGATGACCCATGTTCGATCTTGACTTAGAAATCATCAAAACAAACTTTCAGACCAATTAACAGAATATTTGGATCACAACAGTAGCCACTAGAGTGTTAACAAGATTTTTCTATTTTTAGCTCCTGTGACCTAGTTTTTCATCCGAGATGACCCATGTTCGAACTCATCCGAGCTATCACCTAGACAAGCATCTTGATCAAGTTTGATGATGATTGATGCAAAAATGTGACCGCTAAAGTGTTAACAAGGTTTTTCTATTTTTAGCTCTGGTGACCTACTTTTTCATCCGAGATGACCCATGTTCGAACTCATCCAAGCTATCAACTAGATAAGCATCCTGACCAAGTTTGATGATGATTGATGCAAAAATGTGACCACTAGAGTGTTCACAAGGTTTTTCTATTTATAGCTCCGGTGACCTAGTTTTTCATCCGAGATGACCCATATTCGAACTCATCCGAGCTATTATCTAAACAAGCATCCTGACAAAGTTTGATGATGATTGGGTCAAAAATGTGACCACTAGAGTGTTCACAAGGTTTTTCTATTTTTAGCTCATGTGACCTAGTTTTCCATCAGAAATGACCCATGTTCGAACTCATCCAAGCAATTGACTAGACAAACATCCTGACCAAGTTTGATGATGATTGGGTCAAAAATGTGACCTCTGGAGTGTTCACAAGGTTTTTCTATTTTTAGCTCTTGTGACCTAGTTTTTCATCCGAGATGACCCATGTTCGAACTCATCCGAGCTTTCAACTAGATGAGCATCCTGACCAAGTTTGATGATGATTGAGGCAAAAATGCGACCGCTAGAGTGTTCACAAGCAATTGTGGACGGCCGGACGGACGACGGACGACGGACGACGGACATTCACCGATCCTTAAAGCTCACCCTGAGCAAGCTCAGGTGAGCTAAAAAGCTATTCTTGTACTAATTTTAGCCCGATTTGAGCGAAAAGCGTTGCAACGCTTTTCAAATTTGGGCAATTATTTTCACAATCAGAATAATTATTCTAGAAAAATGTAGAAAGGGAATTATCTAAATGATCTTGCACACAAGTTATGGAACATTAATCTGACAAGAATATTTTCTGTCCCATCATGTCAAAAAAAACTAGTAGCGTCCCTTTAAACTTATATATTTATTTATAAATAAAAAACTATTTGCTGACTGTATGATGAAAATCCTCTTTTCTTTCATCATCAAAAATCCTTCGACAATAAGAATATTGGCGCAATGAATGACATCTGATTTGATTTCCGGCCAGACTCGAAATACTGTTTTGAATACGTTACAATATACATTTGTGACAAAAAAGTATTGCTTGTGTACCTTTAGTTTTGTTGCTATCTTTTATACGAGGGTATATTTTAATAAGTGGCAAACACTTAATTTATTCATGATTTGCACGTGGAAGTACATGTATAATATACCGTTGGAAAAATTATTGATTTTTCTAACCAACAGTCATTTTTCGCACGATTTGCACGTGCAATGAAATAGCTAACTTCTGAGAGAGTTGAAAAAGCCTTATTGACTAGGTTTTAAGATCACGACCCTAGACGCCTGAGAGAAATGATCATAGAGGATGAAACGTGGCTTTATTTTTTTATATTTTTTTAGCCCGACAATAAACTCAGTAACAAAATGTAGGTAGGTGTAATCATCGTTCGCTCAGTTGTTGCTTGACAAAGAGTTATTTACGCTCTATTTTTGACAGTGATGGAATAATGGCCCGTGTCGCTGTGTCCGAGAGGGTAGTGTTAATGGAACATTTGAAAGTGACCATGTTCTCACTGCTGTAGTTAATCACAACATTCCAAAGAATCCAATGTCTGGGGTGCGCAGGATCAAATTACTCCATGATAATGCACCTGCGCACCGGCAAGCCTTAGTTCAAGCAGAATTGAGGTTTTGCTACATTCCGCTTATAGTCGTGATCTCTCTCTTTGTGACTTTGGTTAAATCCATAACTTGACTTCGCGGTCGCTGGTTCGAAACCTGTAGTGCCGTCGGAAACGCTCTCTACCAGTTTATAAACAGTATACCTAAAGAACATTTCAAAAATAGATTCTGAGGCTTGAAAAGTGTGACTATGGTGAATATTCTGAAAGATTCTACTAAGCAATCATTTTTTCCCATGTATGACTTATGTAAAGAAAAACTCTCTGCCGTTGCCAATTATGAAAATATGCCCCTCGTAAATCAGAGCAAGCATCCAACCAGAAGGTGTGTTCCAGTTTCAACAATGCTCGGTTTTTCTGATGTTTTAGGTGTATGTTCCTTTTCAGTTATTATCGACCTTTTACAAAGGGCAATTTATCATGCGTACTTGCTTTAAAAACTTGTTTGGTTATGTTTTACGTCACAGCAACATTGTGAACAACAAAAGGCGACTTTCCAGCATTACTGGTGAAGGAAGACCTCAGGTACTCCTTCGTGTATTATTTCAGGCATGAACGGGCATCGAAGTAGAGCCACCGGCGTTTCGTCTGCAAGTTGAATAGCTTCCTAATATGAACAATAGCGGAAATTGTTAAAGGACTTGGATGCTTCTATGTGAGGAAGATATCTAGCTAGCTTACGGAACGCCAGTGGTTCTTCTCATGTGCCCATGAGAGCCAGAATAAAACGCAGAATGCTTATTTTCATCAAAATGCATAAAAATAAAGATAACAAAGAAAATATATGACAAGAAAACAAATACTTTATTATTATCTTTTAAAAACATATACATCCAAACAAAACCAATTTTACATATGACACAATGTTTTTTTCTTCCAATTTCCTCAATTCTAACTTGTTTTACTCTTTTACATCAAATTTTACAAACCAGTCAATGTTTTTGTTTTACCTATAACAATTTAAGGTGTGATAGACATAGAAAACCGACTATGATATGAGTGATTTGCATAATAATCGCCAGCTTATGCCTGCATTACATGGTATAAGTAAAGGGAGGTCACTCTAGTAAAAGTTACGTATCACTGACAGTTCAAATTTGTGCAGACGAATAAATTAGCGGGAAATTTATATGCCAGATAAACTTTCCCATCATACACCATTTCAAATAAAGATTTTCTTTAGACTGGTTATATTTAAAGAAAAAATCCTATTGCTTAGGACGGTATGATTTTGAGAGAAACAACTATTTCTTTGTCATGTTTTAATGCAGAAAAAAATCTTATAGTTTAATTATGAACACAAGTAGTCAATTCTTTAAAAGAAAATATTTTCTCAAATTTATTATGTGCTTATCAATTATGCACTTCTTTATTTCTTTTCTGTGGTAGGCACACTTTTTTCTGGATTAGTTTCATTCTACTGTAAGTTTAACACACATTTTTTTAAACTGGTTTTATTTTGAGATAAAGTCCGTTTTTACTTCTCAATATCAGAATGCATTCTGGTTCAGCTTTTCTTTCAGGGTCAAGGTCAAGTTTGAAATGACGTAACAGTTCGCAGATAACGACCTTGACCTGTGTCAGTGCAAAGTGTTGCCCTATACAATTTCTGAAATAAAAATTAAAATATGAAAGAATAAATTCCTAATAAACAAATGTTTTGATGCATATCATATCTCTGCCACATGTTTAATTAGATCTACAAATGTAGGTTATAGCCAAGGTCACACAAACACTGTCAATGTCATATGATAACTTTCCAGCTTAACTGGTGAGGGACCAACTCAAAAAACACTATGTTTGATAGTTCATGTAAAAGCAAGAACTGGAGTAGAACCACTGACTTGTATAGCCTTCTCATAATTATGTAAAAATTGATGACCCTATAGCGTTATTAAAACAATAGGTGTGACCATGACAACAGGCCAAGTGATTTGAAGTCAGCCACTTTTATCACATGACCACAGAGGCCTAATTTGTATAACTGCTATATATACTCTCGTAGATATCAAGTTAATAATATTTGTTTAATATTGAATTAAATGGAACCCTTAATAATTTGGATTACCCTGAAGAAAACTTTATTTTCAAATGCAATATCACAGATATTGGTATTATTGTCAAAAGGCTGAAAAAGGTCCATTTTTGTCACTTTTTGCATATAAAAAGATGACTCAAACACAAAATTTTCATAAATAATGATGCTATTTAAATATTGAGCAGGTGGCAAGAAAACAGCTAGAATATATTAAACACTAACCTTGGTCCTATAGAAAATGGGAGATGATACACTGAGGATATTTTACTACCATTTGTAAATCTATCTGGGTCAAACTCCTGAAAGGTCAACAAAAGGTCAAGGTCAAAAAAATATGTAACTTCTAAAATTATGCTTATCTGAATACCAGTATTCAATAAAAAAGTGACCATATGACTCCTGTTCACAAAGAAAAAGATCAGGGTCAAATGTTCTTGCATTTATTTTAATGCTATATGAAACTTACATATTAGGCTAAAAATAATATGATCCATATATAAAATGTAAAACGTTGCTGAATTTGCATTAAACGCAATGAAACAAACACATTTTGGAATAAAATTTAAGAATAAAAATGCAAAATACAAAAATCACTGGGTCAAAATAAGGATCAAATTTAGGATCAAGTATTTGGGTCAATTTGAAATTAGCGTATCATGTGAATAAATCATGAAATCTTTATAAACTTCCACCATCTTATATTCATACGATTGGATGCCAAAACATACCACTGTTTTGTCAGTCTGTACAAACAAACAGAATGACAGACAAGGGCAAATCTGTATAAGCTAACCCTCTAGTTGTCCGGTAAATTTAGTGTACTTTTTTGTAGAGTTTGAGGTTACACCAACCCTGTGTAAAAATTATAATGCCACTTTACAGCATTACTGATCTATAGTCCCAAGCATGCAGTAGAATTACCTTCCTGTTAGCTAGATGAAACAGTTTTTTCACATGATAGAATAGAATGATAGTTTCACAAAAAAAACAAAGGTAGATTTAAAAGTTGGAAGTAGTATGGTAATAATTTAAGGCAAAATTGTGCTTACATTAGGATTATCCCAGACTTCAGGATCTCTTTGCACTGCAAACAGTGAGACAGTAATTCTCATATCTGAAATAATAATGGGAGAATAAAGTTTTAATGTTAAAAATCATAGTGGTAGAAAAGTGCTTATCTAAGAAACTTTCAGGAGAATAAAAGTTATACATGTGCATTGTTAAATGAGAAAGTTTGGCTATAAGGTTTACCTATAAAAAATAGGTGTAAAAATTACAGGAAAATATTTAGTAAAAACAATGGGATATTTTTGGTTTTCTCAACTATACAAAATCTTATACATATTTTATATCATTGATATATTTTATCATTTAATTGACATTGCTGCAATTAAAAATTGTGCTGTCATATTAAGCAACTGCAAGAAGCATTTTTGTTTTGATCTGGAAGACAAAAAGTGCTATAAAATATTCATTATTTTTTCATCAAGTTTCTATTTATCTTTTTTTCCTCAGAATTGGGGCAAAAATGTTGTTTGGGATAATAAAACTTAAAATGCCACATACCCTGTGGTATGCTTAAAACTAGATTTTACATCAGCAACAACAGTCAAGCATTAGAAATCATGCTAAAAATAGATTACCTTTAGGTATGACACGGCCATCAGGCAGGTCGAGATCTCTCTCCAGACAACGTGATATGTTTGGTACAGCAGGAAACAATCTCATGCTTTCCTGTATACATGCATACATGTACTCTAACTTCGTAAGATCATCCCTGAACAAAATATAGATTATTTCTGTCACTATTACATAAGTATAGTAAGATATCACAACAAGCATTTTTTTTCCATATGAAGGACAGCAGTTTTTTACTTAATAAAAAATGTTTACACATTCATATCCATTCAACCTTTAATAGAGGATACTGAATGAGTGTAGGTTCAATACTGAATTTACTGGACAAGTTCAATAAATTTAGTAATGAAGCTTCATGAATATAATAGTCTGTTTATCACATACTTGTATCCAAAATAACTTTAACGGTAAAAAATAATTGCAGAGGGGACCCTCAGTAATCCTAAACACATATTATGCTAATTTATCCTGTTAATCATGTTGTATTACAAACATTACAATGTATATTCAATAGAAATGGTGGCTTAGTGAATAAGGTGGTCACCACTTAACCATGAGAACCTGTGTTCAAGCCCGGATGGGGTTGCGACCATAATGTTCACATTTTAACCATGAGATCAAGAGTTCAAGCCCTGATGTGGTCGCAACCATAATGTTCACCTCTTAACCATGAGATGGAGAGTTCAAGCCCTGATGGGGTCGGGACAATAATTCCTCAAATTAATGATACCAGTACTGGTTTTTGTTCCAGATAATTCACAGAACACTGGATTAAATAAGCTTAAGACTTTCATCAGAATCAAGCTAAAAAAAATATTATTTAACTTAACTAAGAAGTAAATAACTAGAGCATACCATGACAGTATTTTAGTTTTGCCGACAACTTTGAGAATTTCTTCTCTACACCTGTCCTGGCAGGCTTGATGTTTAGCCAGGTTATACAGACACCAGGATATTGTGCTGGCTGTTGAGTCGTGACCTTCAAACATAAACGTGTCAACCTCATCACGAATCTCCTGATCGGTCATGCCGTCACCATCATTGTCCTTAATAAATAAATAGTCAAAGATTTATAAGATAATAAATAATGGTAATTTTAATGACTTGTAGTAAATTAAATAATTATTTAATCAATTGTAATATAAAGATGAAATGAGTTATGATATAATGAATAATGATATAATTAGTAATGATATAACTAAACAATGATATACATGTAAATAAATATAATGATGAAAAAAGAAATGATGTATTTAATAATGATTTAAAGAATAAATAATGATGTTATGAATAATAATCAATTAAATAATTATCAATTGAATAATGATGTTATGAATAATGGTCAAAGAAATAATAATGATGTAATGAACAATGATCAATTATATATTCTAACACGACAGAAAATGTGTGTTATTATGCAATAATGTCACAGTTGACGTTCTATATTTAGATATGCGACGTAATCATCATACATGTGACGTAACCACTAAAAGAATCCGACGCGCTGAAAATAAGTACGGGAACAAATCAGGCACAATTTCGCTTAATATCAGGTACGGCAGCATTTATTTGTTGATGTCATGTTAGAATCGAAATAATATATCCAAATTGGTGATTTTATCGCTTGATAACATCAGTTTTTCATTCGGATGCGCATCATTATATCACTCGGGCTATGCCCTCGTGATATAATTTGTCACATTCAAACTCCAAACAGTGATGTTATTGAGCGGGATATATTATATTTCTTAAATGATGTTATAAATAACAGTCAATAGAATGAATTGATATAATGAATAATCATCAAAAATATGAACAATGATGTAATGATGCTATGCATACTTTCCATTTTATTTGTGACCAATCATTCTTTAACTAGAAAAAACAATCATTTTATCTGTTGTGGAAGATACAGCCTTATATTCAGAATAAGGTTAAATTCCTTGAAACATTGAAAACTTTCATTATATGCTACCAAATTAATAAGACTTACCTTTGCAGTAAGTAGGATATCTAAGAAATCAACATTTCTTGCTCCCTTTGCCTCCGACTTCAACAACTGTTTTCTCTTTTTTATTATTTTCTCTGAATGCTCATGAATAGCATGGCATGCTTGTTTAAATTTCTTTCTGAAATATATTATATGTTATACATATTACATTTTGAAAGTAATACACCTTAACCCCTGCTGGTGTGTTGGTCTGTCTGAATGTCTGAGACAAGTATTGATCATGTATGTATGAAATGAATAGCCCTTTAACATTAATTTTATAATATCAAAAAAGCTTCTATCAAAGTTGTAGTAAATGCTTTTACTGAAAAAAAAAAAAAAAAAAAAAAAAAAAAAAAAAAAACTTTTTTGATTTGCAAAATGGTAACGGTGTATATGACTTTGAGTGTATTTTAAATAATAAATTATTTTTTATTAACAAAAGTCACTGTTTCATGTCATTTCCTTACGTAAGTGCAGTAACTGGTTAAGTCCTTCTAAATTTAATAGGATTTAACCAATTTAATAGGATTTAACCAGTTATTGCGCTTAGGTGGCAATTTGTCATATTTTACTTGTTAAACTATGCCTAAATAATCATTACTTTACTTTTTTGATATCATATTTTGTATATTTGATGTAGAATTATTGACAAAATGAAGGCAATTTTTTACCCATTTTCTGTAAAGTTATAATAGATGAAGTCATAGTGGTGTAGAGGCTTGATGATTCTTTTGACAATAAGTTCCGATACATCGTAAACACCCTGAATATATGGATGCCTTGTTCTGAAATAAAATATGTTTCAGTTGAGTTTTACGTCACACCTTGAACACAGTACATGTATAAGTCATATGGCAACTTTCCAGCTTTACTAATGGAGAAAGACCTTAGGTGCCCTTCCATACATTATTTCAGGCACCAATGGGCATGTGAGTAGAATAACCGATGTTCCGTAAAACAAATTATGTAAAAAATTTAATCAATTAAATACAAAATTCATTCTGCTAGACAATGATGTCTATTTCCACATTTCAAACTTATTTTTGGTTATAACTTTTTTAATTATTTTTCACAGTGCAATTTTTTTTCTTGTACAAAATTAATCATATTCACTAAAATAAAACAATGCAATATAAAAATCTTTTATTCTGTAAGAATCAAAGTAAATTTGATGTTCTTTCACTATTTACATTTGTACATTTATATCTGAAATATTCATGATATATATTGTCTTAATTATTCTTTGTCTTCATTTTATTTTCCACAGGATGTATAATTATGTAGTAAAAAAAATAGTTTAGACAAAAAAAATTGAAGCAAAAATAAAATAAAACATACACAAACAAAATCATTTGATCTGGGGGTTGACTGCAAAAATGCAGTAACTTAATATACGAAATAAAGAAGGACTAATATTACAGTCTTGTGGTCAACCCTCTAAAATTTCACTCTAATCAACTAAAAAAACTTTACTCAAATCATCAAATGATGTATAATTATTTAAGTATTTACTTTTCATTTTGGCAGTTGCTATGGTAACCAAAAAGACATTGCATCATACTGTCTAATGTAAGAAGACTTATGTGATGAAACACCTCTTCTGAACCAGCTGATTTTCGCCATTTATCCTGAAAGATCATTGAACATCTACATGTGTATATATGTAATATTTAAAGTGAATTGTACCATAATGGAAAGTTTGTAATACCATGAATAATTATGTTGATAGTATTTAAAGCTACATGCCTCCAGATGAGTCTCAATAAAATCAAACTTGAGAAAAATGTACTAGGAATAGTAAAAGGATTCAATATTCAAGTAATATTTTACATTTTTTGTGCGATTAATGACTGATTTTTCAGTATTTACAACTATATTTCTACTGCGTTACTAACGCAGTTACTAACGCAGTAAGGGCTATTTATGTATATTTTGACCACTTTTGGTAATTAACGTAGGTTGTAAGCACCAATGATAATGTGTATGTTGCTGCCTTTTGGTTACTCCACAATATTACACATTCAAATAAATTTTCAAAAATTTCATGAAAATAAGTAAAGAAATATTTCATAAGAATACTTAAATGATACATTTCTATTGCTCTTATCAATACATGTATCTGAATTTCAGAAATGTATACTAACTGACAGTCAAAGAGATTTCAATATATTATTGTTCAGGCAATGTTTATTTCTATCAATTAGACAGTAACAGAAACAAGCATCAGTAAATCATTAAATTGGGTGAAAACCATTCTGGCCGATTAATAAGGCTAATTGATGACTCAGAGCACCCCTTAGCAAATGGCTAGATTATGATAATTAACACTTAAACTTACAATTAGAACTTTTGTACTCCTGCTGAATACAATGACATAATTTTTTAGGATGTCAGCATGAAAAGCAGGTGTCATCAATCTTCTGTTTCTATCCCATTTTTTACCTTTACTCAACAACAGCCCATCTCCTGTAATATATAGAGGATATTTGTTTAGTTCAGTGTAAGATCGGAATATATTTCACCGAGTGAGCACCAAAAGGTATATTTCACGAGTGGCGCAGCCACGAGTGAAATATGAACTTTTGGTGTTCACAAGGTGAAATATATTTTGATCTTACACTAAACTAAACAAATTTTCTTTTTATTATATGCAAAGAAACGTTTTAAAAAGACATTAAACCTAATACTGAATGAAAAGCGCGCCAAATAATAATACAACGTGACGTCATTTACGACGTCACGTCATTAAGTTGGTACCCAGTTCTGTGCACGCTGGTATTTCAGTGAAACAACGTAAGGGGCTTAAATTCAAAACAGTGAAATTATCAAAGTGGTAATTTCACTGTTTCAAACAGTGAAATTACCAGTTTTTATATCACTGATATATTTCTATAAACCACCGAAAAGCATGTAATAAATCATTGTTTTCTACATTGTAAACTTAAATTTAGATAATACCACTTCATACAGTGGCATAAAAGTGACATTTGCAATTTGTTTTTTTTTTGTTGTTTTTTTACACTTATGTTTTTTTTTATTACATATGTATTTTTTGTGTTTTCATACATATTTTTTTTTTTTTTTTTTTTTTCGTACATGTTTTATTTTAGTTTTGTATACATTTGTTCTTTTAGATTTGCATACATATTTTTTTTCAGTTAGCAAAACTAAAAAAAAATGTGTATGAAAAACTAAAATAAAATATGTATGCAAAACTAAAATAAAATATGTACAAAAAACAAAACAAAAATACGTATGAAAAGCAAAAATAAAATAAGTATGAGAAACAAAAAAAAAGAATGAAAAAATTTATTGAAAACATACAGATCTCAGGTAAAAATAAATTCAATTCTTAATAATAACTTATTTTCTGAAAGAATAATAGTTGAAAATGAAAATCTATCAAAAATCTGGAAAAGTTGAAGTCTCTCGGAAGAAATGGGGAAAAGAGTACATGAAAATTGTTGACTTGGTTTGACTGAGTCTGTTCATGAGAAAAACTGAAAAACTGCAACACTCCTTACCACTCTAAATATCTTAAATGGAATTCCATCTTACAATCTGAACACCCTGGACCATTTTTATCATTTTTAGGGGAAAATTTCAATATATGTTCAGACTGAATAATGAAATGTACAGACCATGATGTGCCGACACAAAGGTGCTGACTGATCTTGGTCTGTACTAGTCACATTGTTAGAATCTGTTGCAATGTATTCTAAGGGTTATAATCTGTCAAAGCTCTCTGTAATGGAGTTAACATAAAAAGTCACCGACTATAATTATTTTTCCAATCCACTGTGTACATTGTGTTCCACGTGGAATGTTTCATTGAGAAATAAAGTTCAACCTTCAAAGGTTTTTAATTTGATATGTCCATCATAAGATTATAAAGTTATAAATAACAAACTTGAAATGATCATCAAGCTGATTAAAAACTGAAGAATTTACTCTATTTAGTGAAAATAAATTAAGCATTATAATTCTGCTTGGCAAATTTTTTCAAAATCTTTATAAGTTTAAGTATCGATACATATATCAACTTACCTATCCATGGACGCATCAATGCATATGAAAATTCATCTTTTGGATCTGAAAAATATGAAATTACCGATAATACAAAGTGATGCAGGTATATTTAATAAGATATGTATTTTAAAAATAACTTACTTATATATTTTTAAGGATTTGACATTCCTAGCATTTCATAGTTAAATATACATGCATATGAAAAGGGAATATAAATAAAATATAAAGAAGTATTAAATAGTTGTTTTACAGGCAACATTGTGTGTTATATCATCACCTTAGTGCAGTAATAAGTTTACTCCTTATATGATTAAATAGGAGTTAACCTGTTACTGCACTGTGACAACCATATAGCCTAGACACAAGTCATTCCTGAAAACTGGAGTGACAAACAGAACAAAAGACAGACAAGGTTAAGTGTAAAACAATATCTGTTTCCTTTTCTACATGAATTTTACTTTACCATGCAGAATATGAATGGAGTTGTCCATCACATCTGTAAATCATTTTTAGGTAAAAATTCTAAATGTATAGACCAAAATCAGACCACACAAAAATGCTGGCTAATCATGGCCTGCACTTGGGACTAGCTTAGTTTGAATCATTTGCATACAAATGCTGACAGAATCACAGGCGCTCGGTCAAATTATCATAAAATAATCTCCCCTTGATCATCAAGAACAAAATAACTATCCAGCACCCGTTCACTACATAAAATATGTATTGTTGTAATTTTGTTCTTGATGATCAAGAGGAGATTATTTCATTATATTTGATCATTATTAGCGAAGCAAATGTGACGAATGCCTGTGGGCAGAATACTAAAATTTGATACCCCAAATCTGTAATCACGTTCAATGTCAAGTTCAACATCCTACCTGTACCAGATAATACAACTTTTGCTGTGCCTGGATGGACAGATATTAACTGAGCCTCAGCCGGTCCGGTCCAAGCTGGAAACGCCCCTGGATACTCGTGAGCATAATCAGCCATGCGTAGCAACCCCGCATAATCTCCAGTTATCTATAAAATCAAATGATTTTTTCTTTTACAATATTAGATAATTATGTAAGACTTAGTTTTGTATAAATATCAATATTTCAATATTAGTTATTTTTTAAAACATCAATACATCAATGCTTAAGTATTTACAAATGAAGCGGTTTCATTGCTAAATTTGTAATACTAAATTTTCTTTTTCATGTGACAGATCAGTGTCATACTGTGAGCTTTTTACCCTTTAAATTAATGTTCGGTTTTCAATAAAAGATGCTATCCTGCAAGCTTATGGGAAGTCAGATGCCAATCTTGGCTTTGATATAATAATGCAAAGATGGGTTTGCAATTATACTATCCAAATAATGGTTAAATATTGCCAGCAACCATTGTTGTGATAATGCAAGGATTTTTTAATGACATAAAATCTTATATTTGTTTTACTACAGTAATTTAATATAGAGTTTCAATTCAAATTAAGACAAAGGGAATAGTCAAATCAATATCTATCCCCTAAAATTAAGAGGATCACCTTTAATGCTGAAATTTTACTTTAAAGTTGGCTAATCACCTTTAAGATTTCAGTTTGAAAGGAATTGTGGGAAATAACAGGTGATGGCCAATGATAACAGTATAACATTGCTGACCATTACTTAATCTGTTTATTATCTTTATCATTCGAGATGACCAGGTCATTTAGTGTATATTAATAAATATTCATGATTTAGTATAATCTGGATCTTAACCCTTGACCTTCTGAATTTGTATAATGGATTTGTCCAGCTTTGAATTTGGAACAGTTCATTCAAACTTTAAGGGATTTCAGTAACAAAATATTTATTATGAACAGTATAAAGCCTTGCCTGATGGCATGAATGTGTAAGCTTGCCTGGCTCTATACTGTATGCTAATTATGGCTTGGCTTATCAGCAGGAAAAGACTTAATAAGGATGATTGTCAGTATTGTGATAGTAATGTTATCATGTTGTACACTTGAGTGCACTCAAACAAAAGTTAAACACATGGTGCCCTCACAAAGCATGGTTCGCCTATTATAGTAAATAGCCCTCAAAGTTTCAGCTTTACTTTTCAAAATTGAAAAAAGTAAGTAAGGTATAAACCAAATTAAATGATATTCGTTATTAAATAATTATGACAAAATTTATTGATTCACAGTCAAATTTTTCACTGTATCAAGATTGGATTAGGTCTTGGGAAAAGTGTAATAAATTAAAAGCCTAACTTTAACAATTACAGTTACTTAATCATAAGGGTAGCAGTGGCCTAGTGGTTAAGGCGTCTGCCTCTCAAGTCTCAACCCAGAGATCATGGGTTGGAGCCCTACTCAAGTAGAAACCATACTCAACACCAGTACGGAGGGGACTCAAAAGTGATAAATATTGCAAGAACTTGTTTCATAAATGAGCTTCAATAAATATGTTTAAACCTAAACTTAATACATAATTATGCTAAAAGTATTAAAGACGGTAAAACAATAATAACTTTTACTTTACTTAAAATATGTATATGGAACAAACAGCTAAATATACAAACCACAAATTTATCTCATCAAACATCTATATATAGAAATGGGTAGAGCAAATCAAAAGAAAACTTACCTGATGTGTATTCCCACCAAAGAATTCCGGTTTTGGACCAGGAAAATCTTTAAATGCTGCCTGCAATCTCCGTCTCTTTAAAAACACCTCAAAAACCTTCTTTAACACGAAGTACAGTAACACCAGTGGTATATAGTTCCATAATGGTGATGCCACAAAACTCATAGTTCACTGTATTCTTATAATTTTATTATGTTAACACTTTCTATAATGTAATACTTAATCTTCTGTTATTAAAGTGTTCATAAATTACACAAAAATTACAATTCCTTGTTATCTCAAGTTAAACTTTAAATGGTCAGCCATACAAACTGGACACAAATATTGCTAGATAATTTTGATCCGCTGAAGTCTGATAAAAGTAAACAGTATCAGTCATGGACATTTGTAAAGACAACTCTACGGTTTGTTATAAACATGAAAGCAAGCAATGTTGAACACCATAGAGATAATTTTCTGATAAACGGGTCATTATTATCATTATTTGTCTATCTATTATCAGAGAAGTGGTCAATAAAAGGTATTGTACGATATGGTTAATGTCATACATGTTTATTTTAATTCATGGTCAGCTCGCAATCTGATCATGACCCAAAATCATGTTACAGCAATAAATATGGTGATATACTACATTATTGACTTAAAAATATTACTAAAGTTCAAAATTAGGAATTTTATAAAAAAATAGATATTATGTAGCAATTGTAATACACTGCAGCTCAAGGTCATAATTAGGATTATCTTACAACATCATTTACTGATTGGCACACCTCCACTAAATCATGTAAATTTCTAGGTAACCCCTTAATATTGCATTCAGAATTATTCCCCTTGTCTTACAACTAGAGTAAACATTATACAGCTTATAACGATGCTGCCGTCAAGACTCTTGTTTTCAAATTGGTTGCCTCTCAGATATAACAATGTACCTGGATATAAAGACATAAATTCTGCAGTCCTCTGAATATCGTTTTAAGTGGAGTTTACTGTACATCTATAAATATCGTAATTATTAAATAATCTTATTTTTGTGTTGATACCTTTAAAATTGGTTGAAAAAAGGGCTACATTTAAGATTTTGCAATCATAATAGCTCCACTTTTTCTTTGAAACAGACAAGCTTATAACATTTGCAGCTATGAAAGGAAAACACAATATTATTCTTAAAGCAAATTGCCTTCAGATTAATACGACTTTTATGAAAATTTTGAAAATGTATTAAAAAGTAAACTATTTTGAAGTGAACAAAGGAAGTATTTACACATTGCAAATATAACTTTCAATTCAGGAAAACTACCAAATAAATGCCAAAATGAAGCCCTTCCTGCAATAGTCATGTAGTACAAATATGGTGAGAAATAATGCAATATCAGTCAATAGTGATATGTAACATATGAAGTATTACTTAAATTATAAATATTTATACTTTTCTTAAAATCCTAGTACATTTTTTTTTAGGTTGATTTTCTTAAATTGTTTTGGCTCATCTAGAGGCATGCAGCTTTAACATCAAACATGTATTGAAAATAAAAATTGAAGAAGTTTCCAAATACTAGGCCTTTTTTGCATACATTTTGCATATATTTTCTTGTGTACTTTATGGCCACAGTGTCACATCTCAATAGCTTATTCTGTCAATGTACTGTCATGATTGTGTAACTTAGAAAAAAAGTAACAAAATAATAGTTTAAAGGTCATCACTTGTATGCTTTTAACAAAATTTACTGTAAGGGAGGTAATTTGTATCTCGTGAAAATTTAAACAGGTAAGAGCTATTATTCTTTTACACAAAATATGTTAGAAATATAGTAAACTCCACTAATATCGCTTTTAAAGATAAGTCGCGTAAAGCAATGCAATTGCTAGGGTCCCGGCTCCTGTTTATGTTTTTTTTAATTTGCTGCTGCTTCTCAGATATAACAATATCAGGAAACAAGAGGGCCATGATGGCCCTGAAATCGCTCACCTGTATATAGGCCCCTGGGCCAAGGCCAATTTTAAACCAGAGGCTTTTATTTGAACAAACTTGGTAGACACCCATTAGAAGATGTTTAAAGATAAATATCTAAGCTCCAGCTCTTTGGGATTTTTATTAGAAGTTTTTTTTAAGTTTTTACTATATACATACAGGGAAAAACAATGACCCCCCCCCCCCCCAGAGGGGCCAATTTTGACCACAGGGCTTTTATTTGAACAAACTTAGTAGACACTGACTAGAATATATTTTATGCTTAGTATCTAAACTCTAGCTCATTGGGTATTTTATAAGAAGAGTTATTAATAAGTTTTTAATATACACATATAAGGAAAATCAATGACCCCTGGGGTGGGGCCAATTTTTACCCAATGGCCCTTATTTGAACAAAATTGGTATACACCCATTAGAAGATGATTCATGCTAAATATCTAAGCTGTAGCTATTTTGATTTTTTAAAAGAGGATTTTTTAAGTTTTTACTATATACAAATAAGAAAAATCAATGACCACCCAGAGAGGGGCCAATTTTGACCCCAGGACATTTATTTGAACAAACTTGGTAGACAATGACTAGATAATGTTTCATGCCAACTATTTAAGCTCTAGCTCTTTCAATTTTCTAAAAGAAGATATTTTAAGTTTTTTCTTTTGGTTGCCATGGCAACCAGAGTTCAGCTTGGAATTAAATTCTTTGAACAATTTTTAAAGTTGACTTCTAAAGGAACATTCCTGTGAAGTTTGGATGAAATTGGCTTAGGGGTTTATGAGATGTCATTTAAAGTAAAAGTTTTTGGACGGATGGACGACGCACAAAAGGCGATCACAAAAGCTCACCATGTCACTTTGTGACAGGTACCCATGTAGCTATTTTTTCAGTCAGATGTCCAGACAGACATAGAAAAATGGATGGTGAGTGATTACAATATCTCACCATGAGTCTGTTGTATGCACAGGTAAGCTAAATCCAAGGAAAATTCTATCATCTGTCCTAAATAGACTTAGATTTTTAAAATGCTATACAAGTCTTTTTGCCATTTCCTCAAAAGATACTCCTCAAGATTGAAAAAAAATTAACAAAAATGTTCATAACATACATTTTTTTCCATTTTAAAAACAAATCCAGTGAACAAATACACGGTAAAAAGAATATAAATCATTTCCAAGTCTTAATTTTTTATACAATAAACATTGATGAGAATGAGCACAGCTAAAAAATTAATAAAGGGTAAATTCTTCATTATTATGAAAAAGAAAAATCTCCAAATATTTCAAGCATTTATTGCTAAAATACGTTGGTTTTTTTTTTACATAAAAACATTCTTATTTATCATTCAAAGCAAGTTCAGTCATAATGCTACAAAACATTTGTGAAATAGACCACTTATCACAACATAAGAATAACACTTCATACTAGTAGTCTTATTAGTCTTAACAAACAAACCAAAATATTTTGTCACCCACACATGGAACTTTTGAATCTGTCTCTTCATCCAAATGTATTGAAATGACAACCTGTACAGATAATATAGATTGCATAGAAACTAGTTTGTGCCAGTTTTTGTATACTTCAGATTGGAAAAAAGAAAAAGTTGTCTATGTGTATGAAAAATAACCCCAAAACAACATTTTTATATCAAGGTAACATTCTGCAATAAATTTTGAGCACTATCAGTTGTAATATTGATGTGCACCAATCAAACTCCTGTTCTCAAATCAAGCAAGTTACACCTATTTCATACCAAGTTCCTCCATGTCTACTCTCCGTTTCTTACTCTTGATTTTATTTCTCAAAGAACACAATACCTTTCCTCTTAATCTATTAAAAACACTTATTTTCAAATATATTTGTTGCACACATATATATATATATATGATTTGTTTATTCTTTTTTAAGTAAATGTAGCTGTGTTAATTATCGTTTTTTTAAACTTAAATTAAATGTGTCTTTCAAAATCCTTTACTCAACAAAAACTTCGATACAGTCTCGTGACAATTTCCTCGGAATTGAACAAACTGTCCAATCTCGTGAACCCGGATCTCACATCTAAGGCCCTGATCTTTAAAATACTTCATAGCATCCTCTTTAAATGCCTGAAACAGAACAAATACTATCTGAAATAATTTTGTAAAAGTTTGTAACACATTAATTTAATTCAAAGACTTAGCTAAATACCGGAGACATTTTTAAATATTTTATACATATGAGATTATTAATACATGTATACATATGCCATGGAAATTTTCAACCTCACCAGTTGTCAAATAAGTTTATGTCACATGATAACACAAGTAAATATTGCAATTGTAACACTGAAATCTATCTTTTAATTTAGCTGGGACTGGTACCAATATAAAAAGCTAAAATATTTTTACCATTATTAACTTAAAATATATAAAATATGCTGTTTCCTGTAAAATTAAAATATGAAGTCAAATTTTTAAATGTAAACAGGTATGCTCTTTCAGTATTTAACTGCACAAATTTCAGCGACCACTAGAATGTTTTTAGTATGTATCAAATGATTGAGCAAATTTACCAGCTATCATTGAATATTTCTTCTTTATGCTAGGTTTTAAATCACTGTTAAAAGTTTTATGGTGAAAAAATCAAATTTTATTAGACTATTAGTAAAGACAACCTTAGGTGCCCTCTGTAAATTATTATAGGTATCGGTGGACATCCAAAGTAGAACCATCGACCCTTTTTAAGGTTAGCTGGGTAGCTTTCTCACATGAACACATTCAAGGTTTGAACCCACAGCAGTGAGTGGCAAGCAGTTAAAAGTCACTGACTTTAACCACCCGACCACAGAGGCTTCACTGTAGCTTCTTTTGCCATGTCATAAAACAGGAAATAAATATCACTAAAAAGTGCTTTATACTGGCTACTGTGAATTTTCACTACTTATCACACGGTTTCACAGTTTATCAAGACTCTTTAAATTCACAGAGAGTTTGGCAGTTTGATTGCCCTTTAACTATTATTCAACCCTTACCCTATTTGAACCAAAAGTGATTCACCTTTACCAACAGTATAGAGTTATGTAAGCCTGCAAATCAGTGCAGCATTACTACGCTCTATACTATTTTCTGAATGATTGCAATTTTTTACCTTGACATCCCTAAAAGTTATAATGAACAGTTCCCATAATGGAAGCTGGATTCATTCATTTAAAGGCACATTATGCTTCATAAACATATAAATTTTTACATCTTTACATAAAAGTAGCAAAATGTAAACAAATAAGTATTTTAACTTCCATACAAAGTATCCCCCTATAACTGTACTTATTGCCAAAAGGCAACAGAAAATATTGTTCAGGTAATTGAGCAACTTTTTGTATTCTACATGTATAAAAGTACACCAAAATTAGAATGCCTTTTAAAAATAAAAACATTAAAGTATTTCTAAGGTATAATGGGCTTTTAAGAAATTTGGCAGGTTTAGGGTTCATTACAACATTGACACAGAATTTCATACTGAATGTAAAAATGTACTTACCCATATATCCCCATAAATAGATTTAACTTTGATAGTTTCTCGGCCACTAAAATGTTTCCTATAGTAACAGGGTAACATATGATTTCTAGTCCGTCTCACTTTATACTCTGACGGCTGTATATTCACTGAAAATCAAAGTAAACTTCTTATTAAGTTATTAATATTATATTGAAACAATTATATTGTACCATTAAACAAATTGACAAAATAAGAACTTTGAAAATTTAAATAATTTCAAGAACCCCAGCCATTAAAGCAGCATGCCTCCAGATTCATGCTAATTGTCATGAATATTTTGAAAATGAGCAAAATATTGTAAGGTGAATGAAGGAAGTAATTTGCTCATTTCAAGAGGCACTTACAATCCTTGTAAATCATCAAAAAAAAAGTGGTCAGATTATGCAAAAATATCCCCTACTGCATTAGTCACACAGTAGAAATATGGTGATAGATACTGAAAAATCAATCATCAATCGCACATAACGTGTAAATTATTACTTGCATCTTGAATCTTTTTACATTTTTGTCAAGTTCAATTTTCTTAAAATATTTTGGCTCATCCAGAGGCATGCAGCTTTATGCTAGACCAGAAAAGTAATAAGTCTTCGCCACCAGTATAGAGCCTGCTAGAGTCTATACTATACTGTTAGCTAATTTCATCTTCCTAACCCCTAAATTGAAAATGGACTCGTCCAAAAATCAAAGCTTGAAAAATCCATTAAAAAAAATTCATTTTGTTAAGTTTGCTTGCTTAATTATGTTTTATGTCACACAGACACAGTATAGGTCATTTGGTGACGTCCCAGCTTTACTGGTGAAGGAAGACCTCTCATTCCCTTAATCAACTTAGGCTTACTATTTGGTGGTACCCATCCTGAAGGTGTGGGGTATACTTCATGTTCTGGAGGGGGTGGAACTGTTGTAGGTGGAATCAGTCGTTTAACAAATTTGAAATCATCGTATGAAATCTCGACATCGGGATACTCGGCATGCTCTGATACCTTCGACTCTTCCTCCGGCAAGTATGACGCAACTTTATCAATAATTTCCCTGTCGTTGATACATCTCTGAAAAATACATGTACAAAAAATTTCAGCTATAAATCCGTACTATTGAATTTTCATGGTGTTTGGCTTCATGTGTATTTATTATTATTAATATTGTTGTAAACAGGTATGTTAGTTTGCCTACTTGTACAATTGCACTTTATCTCGCTGTTGTTGTTGTTGTACAATCATATCATCATGACCAGTTTGGTTCTTGCTTGATTATTCATTATTTCAATTTAATTGATTTATTTCAATATGGCATTTGTGTATACATATAAATGTTGTGTATATTGTTTTGTAAACTGTTTATATAAAAATTATTGTAATTATGTTGTGTACATCAGCTGAGGCCAACATGGAAGATCGAGAAACCAAATGTGTAAGCCTTGTTAAACAAGATATGTTTGTAAAACATGTATGCCCCCTATCAGCAGCCAGTTAGTCATGTGATAAGGTTATTATGCATGACTTCTGACCCAGTGATCAAAAAATTAATAAGGGTTATCAAGTATCTACTGGTCATGACCTTAACCTTTGACCCCTTGACCCAAAACTCAATAGGGGTCATCTGCTGGTCACGACCAATCATCATACAAAGTTTGAAGTTCCTAGGCCTATGCGTTTTAAGTTAATTGATCGGAAACCGTTTTAACATACAAGGTCAATGTGACCTTGACCCCTTGACCCTAAAATCAATAGGTCATCTGCTGGTCATGACCAATCACCATACCATGTTTGAAGTTCCTAGGCCAAAGGGTTCTTAAGTTATTGATTTGAAAGCATTTTTACCTACAAGGTCAATGTGACCTTGCCCTTTGACCCCTTAACCCCAATATCAATAGGGGTCATCTACTGGTCATGACCAATCACCATACCCAGTTTGAAGTTCCTAGGCCTTCACCATACCCAGTTTGAAGTTCCTAGGCTTTAAAGTTCTTTAGTTATTGATCGGAAACCGTTATTGCTTACAAGGTCAATGTGACCTTGACCTTTGACCCCTTGACCCCAAAATCAATAGGGATCATCTACTGATCATGACCAATCACCATACCAAGTTTGAAGTTCCTAGGCCTTAAGGTTCTTTAGTTATTGATCGGAAACCGTTTTTGCTTACAAGGTCAATGTGACCTTGACCTCTGACCCCTTGACCCCAAAATCAATAGGGATCATCTACTGATCATGACCAATCACCATACCAAGTTTGAAGTTCCTAGGCCTAAGGGTTCTTTCGTTATTGATCGGAAATCGTTTTTACCTACAAGGTCAATGTGACCTTGACCTTTGACCCCTTAACCCCAAAATCAATAGGGGTCATCTGCTGGTCATGACCAATCACCATACCAAGTTTGAAGTTCCTAGGCCTAAGGGTTCTTTTGTTATTGATCAGAAACCGTTTTTACCCAAGAGGTCAATGTGACCTTGACCTTTGACCCCTTGACCCCAAAATCAATAGGGGTCATCTACTGATCATGACCAATCACCATACCAAGTTTGAAGTTCCTAGGCCTTAAAGTTCTTTAGTTATTGATCGGAAACCGTTATTGCTTACAAGGTCAATGTGACCTTGACCTTTGACCCCTTGACCCCAAAATCAATAGGGGTCATCTACTGATCATGACCAATCACCATACCAAGTTTGAAGTTCCTAGGCCTTAAAGTTCTTTAGTTATTGATCGGAAACCGTTTTTGCTTACAAGGTCAATGTGACCTTGACCTTTGACCCCTTGACCCCAAAATCAATAGGGGTCATCTACTGATCATGACCAATCACCATACCAAGTTTGAAGTTCCTAGGCCTTAAGGTTCTTTAGTTATTGATCGGAAACCGTTTTTGCTTACAAGGTCAATGTGACCTTGACCTTTGACCCCTTGACCCCAAAATCAATAGGGGTCATCTACTGATCATGACCAATCACCATACCAAGTTTGAAGTTCCTAGGCCTTAAGGTTCTTTAGTTATTGATCGGAAACCGTTTTTGCTTACAAGGTCAATGTGACCTTGACCTTTGACCCCTTGACCCCAAAATCAATAGGGGTCATCTACTGGTCATGACCAATCACCATACCAAGTTTGAAGTTCCTAGGCCTAAGGGTTCTTTAGTTATCACTCGGAAACCATTTGGTCTACGGACCGACGGACCGACGGACCAACGGACCGACGGACCGACAAGTGCAAAGCAATATACCCCCTTTTCTTCGAAATGGGGACATAACAAGCAATTATCATAGTATTGCAAGCAATTCATAAGTCCTCTACCGGTTAGAACCCCATCCACATTCTGATGGGCCATTGGCCATTCAATTTTACCAGTGAATGAATGATATAAATGAACTGAATGTTGAGTGATAATAAGAAACATATATATGAAGTTTGAAGTAGAAACACTAAGAAATAAAGAAGTTATTTAAAAAAGACAACATTTTTTTCATAAAAATTCTAAGTTCAAGGGAGGTAATTCTGATAATTTTTGTGCTAGAGTTGTAAACCTTGTCACATATGATGTGGATGATGACCAGAAACTTATATTTAAAGTTTGAAGTAAACACCTTAAAAATTAAAGAACTTATAGTGAACTAGAAATGTGTCCATAGGACCGGTAGGGGACTAATAAAGGCCTTACTTACTTACATGTACTTAATATTCACTCCTAAATTAGGCAAAAGGTTCCCTTCATATAATTTGTAATGTCTGAGCTGCCAGTCAGATAGCATACATAACTATTCTCAGTGCTAAACTATTCTCATAAAACAAATTAACAACAATTACAATTTTTTAAAGAAAACTTTTATATCTTCTTCTGCTCTGTTGTAATTAATTACAATCAATTTAATGAAACTTTAAGTTAATTTAGATGGAATGGCGCAAGCATTATACAAAAATGTTTTTATGAATTAGGTGTTATATTGGAAAATAAATCCTTTAAATTTTCTGGGTGTTGTTCATTTATAATGATTCCTTTAATTATATTTCATGTGTTTTCTTTTTTTGTTTTTTTTTATTAAGTACATCTTAGACTTATTAAATCTAATCCTTTGACTTAATTGTTCTTCAGCTGTTTAGAAAACAGAGAAAGTCCCAAACAGAGATAGTCCCTCCCACTGTTTAAAAACAGAGATAGTCCCTCCCACTTTTTTAGAAACAGAGATAGTTCCTCCCACTGTTTAAAAAACAAAGATAGTCCCTCCCACTATTTAGAAACAGATCACCTTATATTTGCACTCCTGCTGTTTTGTAATATACATCACACTTTCCAATATACAGCTTATTACCAGCCACCTCCTGGTGTGCCTTCAGTCCAACTAACTTACATGTATATGTATCAATTAGGATCCGAGTGTAGGACAAAAGCCCTCCCGGACAAAAGCCCTCCCGTCCAAAATTGACAAGGCGGACAAAAGCCCTCCCGTGAAAATGACAGGGCGGACAAAAGCCCTCCCGTAAAAATGACAGGGCGGACAAAAGCCCTCCCGTAAAAATGACTGGGCGGACAGAAGCCCTCCTGTGAAAATAACAATATTTTTGTTTTTCATTGTTTTCCATTGGCATAAAAGTGTTTGTATGAGCTTGAGTACATTCCTGACTGACATCTGAATAATAAGTACTAAAATCTGTAAGTGCATATTTATTCACGTAAAAATGAAGGATTACTCACATGTGAAATTATGATTAATAGAATAATAAATGATGAAAAAATGTTAAAATTAACTAAAATTGAAAGTCCAAGTGCCTTGTAATGAGTCAATTACTTTAGAAAGTGATTTTGTTTTAAACGACATTCGTGTGAAAATATTACCTCGCTAAACATTTCTGAAAGGTATATTCTGAATGAAAGCTGGTTCTAGCTCATAAAATACTTAGACCAATAGAAAACAACAAAACACAGGTATGTAACATACATATATATTTTGTTACGGGAGGGCCTTTGTCCGCATTGTTTATTTCACGGGAGGGCTTTTGTCCGCCCTGTCATTTTCACGGGAGGACTTTTGTCCGCCCTGTCAATTTCACGGGAGGGCTTTTGTCCGCCTTGTCATTTTCACGGGAGGGCTTTTGTCCGCTTTGTCATTTTTGGACGGGAGGGCTTTTGTCCGTTTCCCATTAGGATCCATATCCCACTCTTATATGAGGGGGTGGGATAGATGGTAAGATTACTAAAAAAGGGCTTAACAACTTACTGATTTTTAATTAAAATTATACTTTCAACATTTACACCTCTCCCCTTCTAAAGTAACTATATATCCTGTGTAAGATTTTTGCTAATTTCCTTTTTTTTTGAAGGGGAACATTAACAGTTTTTCATCACAATTTTTTTTCACCACAATAATGCCTACTATGGTAAAATTGTTTGTATTTATCTGACAGCATTTTACACATAGATAATGCATGTTTTTAATTCATATCTCATAAGACTGAGACAATACGATTTTATTATATTTGCTGAAAGGTATACATGTTGAATTAACAAATAGATTCTGAAAAAACAAACTTGATTTATCATTAAAATGGTTTTACTAAAATCAACATTAGGATAAAACCATGGATGAAATACCAAGTTTTATATATATTAGCGAAGATAATTTATCAATCTATGTATATGTCAAAAATAACAAGAGCAATGCATGCAGTGTTGACTGCTTGACTGTTAAAAATTCTAAGTTAAAATGGGGCATAACTCCAAAATATTGCTTTCAGATTGATGCCCCTTGACTAACAGCAGCACATTGTCAGTGTTTAATATACCCAGTAATTGTCACAAAATTCAATCTAAAAATTTTATTTATGAACCAATCATTATAATCATCCTGTCTTGATATGATTTCTCTGCAACTATACTTGATATTGTTTAGTCATAAGAGTATTTGCTGGGATTGAAAAGTATACAATTTTTATGGAATTAAAGGCGTTCTAAGCTACACACACATTTATTTAGAAGACTTTCTGTAATTATACAGGGAAGTCAAAATCCGGTATCACAAAGCGGGTCCAGGTTTTGGCTAGCCAGTTATAGATTAAACATGTATATTTAAAATGAAATCAAATAAAAACATTTAAAAATATATTCTCTACCTATCAGTGAAATTTTCAGTGTCATTTCTAGTTGGGAACCCCCATTTTAAATGTAATTCAATGATAATCAATACAGGAACAAGCACAACTTTTCTGCTTAAGAATAATCATTGAGGTGTTCCATTTGAAAATGTCAAAGTGGTGCATGAAATAGGGAATGGCCCCTTTAAAACAAAAAATGTAAAAAAATAAAATAAGAAATTTTCTTATCTGACTATCCTGTTCATAGGCTTTGCCTACTTTCATATTAGATCTGATAAAGCACAACTGATAAATTTTTCACACACAAATGAACATGTACTTACATCATAAATCACTAATTCATCACCATAGTTACCCACAAGCCACCAGGTAGCCTGGCTTAAGTGTTTTAAAAGAATTCATGTCCTAATCGAGATCTAAAAAAATAAGTTTTTACAAGAGTGGGCGAATAGATTTTGGTGCGAAAATGAAATTTGCTTGCCAACTATCAATGTCAAACATTTAAAAGCTCAATAATCAATAACTTAATGTACTAATTGCACCAGACCGAATTTGCCTCTTTCAAAATACTTTCATGTTATCTTTCAATCCATACCTTTTGTGCTATAACAGCTGAATGTCTTTCAATTTGAATTAATTTTCTTCCAAACCTGTTTAAATTGCGAACCATGGAGGCTGCCATATTGAATTCTGAAGGCATATAGTTTGCGACGCACAATAGAAAATATGCGGATTTATCGTATATTTAAAATCAAAGCACAGAAGGCGCTGAATTTGTTTGGGTCTCAGAATGTCAGAAAGGTGAAGGTTGTGAGATTATAAACCAATTTGTTTTTGTATAGTGCCACCAATGCTTTCCAGCGTTTTAATTGTAGTAAATTGGCTATAAGACTAATTGCAACACTGATATTCAATTCAATGTTTATTTGACTTAAACAATTTGAAAAAAAAATGAGTTGCCATAACTGGGATTTGAACTCCAGACCCCTCGCTTCCTTAGCGAGCGCGCAAACCTCTCGGGCACGGTGAAGTAATATGATAACGGCCTGAAGAAAACCATATTATTCTAAATTAGGGTTTGTAACCCTTATTATTTCGACGCTAACTGTTGTTTAACACAGATGTAAATAATCATGGAGCTTACTATAAGCATGCATATCTATAAAGAATAAAACAATATTAGAAATCTTCGACCATTCGGGAACTATTTTTCTTGAAAATTAATGCGCCTGTCATTTGACCATCTTTACGCAGTGATTTCCCCTGAATTTTTCGGCGTTAGTGTACATATAAAGGGAAGTAACCGCTTCAAAAAAGCGAATTACTTTCGGCATTTGCAATTAACAGCATCAGGGTCTGAAATTTCGCTACCATTATGTGTTTGGTCTGACGACCCAAACAAATAAAAAGTAGATGAATACGTCTGAAGTAACTTTGAGTTGAGCGACTTATAATGTGTCACCCATGTTGGAATACTTAACACTTTCAAAAGACTTATTTGGAACCTATTCATATAAATCGATTTATTTAGGGAAGTGTACATAAACACATGTTCAGTATTGTCACATATATCAGTTGACATGCATATAAAACAAAAATGCAACAACAAAAATTATAAAATTAATTATTATGCATAATGTTACCCTGGGATTGTCCTTTAAGTTAACAGTTGATTTCCAATGGGGTCCAATCACTGCAATATTAATACAATAAATTATAAATGAAATTAAAAACATCACATCGAAGGTATAAACTCCAGTCTTTCGTGTTGTGTTTTTTTTTGTTTAGTTTAGTTTATACAAATTTATTTTAGTTCGGTTGTGTTGGAAGCTATAATCTTATTTAAACACTCTCGAATCCGTTCCTGGAACTAACCAGTACCAAGCAATGATTGTACAGTTTCTTGCTCAAGGAAACAACGGCTTACCCCTGACAGATTTTGAACCCGCGCGGTCAGCGATCCTTAGATTTCTAGTCCGGCATGTTAACCATGTCTGTGTTTGTATTAGCTTGTACGTACCAAGAACTCTATAAGGTATCGTACTAGTTTCACGCTGTTATAACCCGTGAAATCTAGTCCAAGCCAAAATATCTTTAAAGATAGGCTTGCGACAGCACTTTCTAGTCACCCCTTAGTATGTTTTATAAATCTTGCACTCTTTTATCTGTATTATTATTTATCTTTTTAACTTAGCATTTAACTCCCTCGTACACAGTTTTCCGAACAAACGAATTATATTTAGTATCGATTTTGCGGAAGTAATCATCTTTTTTTAAATGTACCAGATTTAATTTTGTTGTTGTTGGTTTTCAATGATGAAAACTTTGCATAGCGAAATGAAAACATTTTTTACATGCTTAGCCAAACTTTTAGTGTCACGTGTTGCACGTGCTGTACGTTTATATATATTTATGTTTTTGCCTGAAAAAAGAAACAATCCAACATGCCCATAACACTTTCACTTTGCTACTGTGCTCGCTCGACGATTGGAACCAGCTTTGTCAATATGTTTTATGACGGCAAATAAATAAATTTTGATAAAATTTGTTTGAGACATAATTTGCGTGTGTCCCAAAATTGTCCGAGAACGTATACAAAAGTAGATTTTTGGTTTGTTCCTTTATTGAATTTGATCTTTTTTCCAAATACACGTATATATGCCACACTTCTCGTGGGAAAAATAGGAGACCGTTGGTCAAATTGCGCACTTCTTTTAAATTTCACAACCAAATAGGTGAAATTTTCAAACTGATTGACTTTGTTTATGAGTAGCAATTAAAGATTGCTTTATACCAGCAGCAACGCCCTCTCAAACCTCCAACAACAGATGAAGCAGTATTCTTTAAGGTAAGACATGTGAGTGTTCAATAAGATTAATCAGTAAATATTAGAGCTTAAAACATTTAAGTTTGAAATTCGGGCTCACTCACATAAGAAGTCTCGCATATAAATATTTGTGATTACATATAACTTAAAAAAAATCTAGCCTGTTTCATAACTCTAATAATTTTTTATTAATTTATAAACTGCTCTGCTCATAGCTATGTAAATTGCTATTGAATGTGCATATTATGCAGATGTTTCAATATCAATATAAATTAATTGATTAATTTTTAGCGGAAGAAGTTGCTCGCGTAGTCGGTGTAATTATAATTTATTATAATTATAATTAATTGATTAATTTTTAGCGGAAGAAGCTGCTCGCGTAGTCGGTGTAAAAAGTTCATCAGAGCTTATGTTTATTGTTGATGTTTCCGACTTATAAATAAAATTTACTTGACTTGACTTGACATGCGTATATAATACCATTAAAAGCATATGTCAGTGGCAAGTTGTTGTTCCCTACAGCAAGAAACAAAAACTTTTGAAACACTCAGTGCTTAGTATTGGTTTGTTCCAGGAACGAATGTTATATTGAAAACGAATGTCAGCCGAGTATATGTATGTCTTTGAAACATGTTCCAGAGAAGTCTAATTAAGCTATAGTGATAACATTTATGTAGATGGGTACTAAACATTTTTTTTTCATTTTCGTTTCGAATGAAAAGAGTTACGTTTTGGATGACAAAATTTGACTAATTTGTCTTCCAATTTTAAAAATGATGTACCTTTCGTTTGAATCACTGTAAAAATGTTATGTTTCAGAATTGACCTGGGCTGTATTTGTCAATGATAGCATTCTATTAATAAAAATAATGATTCATCAGGAGTTTGCATACATCTTCCCCCTTTAATTGAATCATTTTAAGTGACGATTATAGCATGGATTATTCATTTATGGCACCATGTATAAATATTGTTCTACTTAATTGGTGGTGATTTCAGAAATTGTTTCAAAGTCAATATAATTGTCTCGGTATGTTTGTACAATTTTAGGTCTGATAGTACATTGTTTAAAAAATAAAGCATTAAAATACATCACAGTCTATACAAAATTTTGAATTTAAAAAAAATAAAAATTAAAGTAAGTTTATGACAGTATTCATAATCATCTGTTTGTTCTATAAGTTAGGTTGGAGTCCCCTGGAAAATAGGAGAATTTATGCCAGACTCCTAATGTTTTACAAGATTATCGGATTGGTTACTGTGCCAATACCCCATCACATTCAGCTCTCTCCGTCGCACCCGACACTCACATCCTCTTTCTTTCGGGCATATCCTCACTGTATGTAACTACTATATAAATATACCAGCAACAATAGTCCTCTGACTCACTGCAATTTGAACTTGTGCAGGTTCTTACCATGGATCAATTTAAACAAGGAGTGACCACTCTTCCCCACCGTGCTTAAAATGAAAATATATTTGTTTTAGCTGTATGCTTTCCCTTCATAACTAACACTATCAACTTTTTATTTCAACTCTCTTTAATTACATGTACGTAAAAATTACAGTATTACTTTTATAAATTCTTCTTTACATTACTTCTTTTAAACTCTGGCACAGACACGCAACTGCACATAATGCTTGAAAGAAGGTGTTGCATAGTTTTGATTAAAAATGACAATCTTATTCAGTAGCCTTATCCCAAAATACAAGTTCTAGTTTACTTTAAGCTATGACTTCCTTGACCCAGATGCAAGTTATTGCTGCTGGAAACATTTTCATTTCACCATAAATAATGGAATAGCCTTATCGAAAATTAGATAATCATCCATTCTTTAACGTTGTGTGATTTAATCTTTACATTTTGAATCAATTACTAGTGTTAATTAATTATGCGAATATAATTTCTTTAAGGTGACGCATTTTCATTTCAAATCCGCATTGCCAATTTTGTTCACACCCGATTGGTCAAGGTCAAAGTACACCAATATGGCGGCTACTAAATTTTTGTGACAGAAACAAAGGTGTAAAAGATGGGAACGCAAGTGAAAAATGTCGCTTTCCGAGAGTATTTTGTGTTTCGATGTCTAAAGCAAAATGTCAATAACCTTGTAAAGTTAATGAATGATAAGAAAAACTTTTGATTTTACTGTTATTTTTAGAAAAATTATCGCGTTACAGTGCAAATCAACTGTCAAGAGTCATGTAGCCCAAAATTAGAATATTTGAAAGGATTTAGTTTGATTATGTCAGCACAGCTTTGTTATTGATTTATTTCTTATGTTACTTTATCTGTTTGTTGTTGATTTAGTGACGGCCAGTGTGTTCAAATGCCGTGTGCATTACGGTCTGACATGTCCGTGGCATCAAATTCAATAGCTTATGCCAGGCCATCAGTTGTGCAAAATGTCAATGGTGGTCCGATATTTACTTCAATTTTTGATTATGAAGCAACTCGAGATGATGAGTTGACACTTAGACGTGGTGTTGAGGTGGAAGTACTTTCCACTGATGCCAAAATATCTGGAGATCATGGATGGTGGACGGGAAAAGTTGGAGATAAAGTGGGAATATTTCCGAGCAATTTTGTGTCAAAAGAGGCGGATGTTATTAAGAAAATACCTCTGCACATTGATTTCAGGGAATTAAAATTAAATGATGTGATAGGTGTAGGAGGGTTTGGTAAAGTTTTTCACGCAACTTGGAGGGGTGAGGTTGTGGCTGTTAAAATTGCACACCATGATCCAGATGAACCTGACGCCACCTTTGCTAATGTGAGCCAAGAAGCAAAGCTATTTTGGCTTTTAAACCATCCAAATATTGTGTCTTTAAGAGGAGTATGTCTTCAGGAACCAGATCTTTGTCTTGTGATGGAATATGCTGCAGGAGGTTCTTTAAATAGAGTGTTAAATGGACGCCAAATTCCGCCGGATATTTTAGTGGACTGGGCCATGCAGATAGCAACAGGGATGTATTATCTGCATGAGGAAGCCCCAATTCCATTAATTCACAGAGACTTAAAGTCTAATAATAGTAAGTATTGTGAGAAGTTGAACAATTGATAAAATAATAAGTTTTGTCTTTTATAAGTCACAAATGTTTCCTTAACCCCTAACTTGGTCAGATTTTATGTATTTTTCTTTATTGTATAATGTCAGCTTTATAGATTCTGTTCTTGATCTCTTTGGAGAAAGCTTTTTTTTAGAAAACAATATGGTGTTTATGGTACCAAGCTTTGTTTTATTTCTAACTTCATTCTCATAGCCTTTTCCCTTTCAATGATAGAAAAGTAAAATAGTTCCTTTATCAAAATTCTGCAACTAAGATTTACAGTCGAAACCAGTTTTGTATTACAAGAGTGGTTATTTTCAATAATGTGAGCTGTTGACATTAAAAAAATCTGTTTTCCATGGAACTACTCAAGGCAACCAATCCACATGTTGTTATAAGTATTCCAAAAGGGTATGGATCGTGCTCTTAAATTACTGAGAAAAAAAGACAGGTCTGGGTTTTATTATTTCTAAAAATAGCAATATTAATTTACTAATCACTATTCATCTTTTAATTATTTAAATGTAGTTTACAGTCCCTATGATCAGGGCTCGAGCTAGTGGGCGATTCGGGCAAAATAGTCGCCAAATTCCGTCTGACTTCGCCGACATCTTACATGAAAGCGAAGACGAAGTCGCCCGATTTTATTGATCCATTATTGAAAATTACCAACAATAACAATAACTGTGAATAACATGTTGTGTGTGTTTGCTTTGTTTACCCTCGCCGCCGGAAAAAGGGACTGTCATGCATCTCAATCAACGCGAAATGTCATTAATTCGTTTGTTTACCAACATGCCATAAAAGTCTAATTAACAGACGCTCGAGGAACAATTAGACTCCGCCCACGGCGAGATTACCAATACGTGCGAGAAACCAATCGTAATTCATGTTTTAATCGAGGCGACATTATTAAACCAATCATTAAATCGCTAACATACAACTACCTGTAACAATTATTTATGATGGACGGATCAAACGTCAATTAAATTTTCAGTATCGAATGATTGTCCGCTCGACATATAACTGTAACCGTAATTTTAAATGAAAGTTATGATAACCTTTTTTGGCGACGAGTTAAATTTGATAAAATTGACGGCGTATTACACTGTATTTATTACAAATGTAGTTAAATTAAAGATCGTTTCTTTTGTTATCTACTTTCATTTTCTTTACAACATAAGTGAATATGAATATAATGTCCGGCGCAAGCTTTTTAATAGTAAATCAGAAGGGAATAACTGTTAATCCACCCATGATTATGATCCATGATAGGAATCAACTATGGCTTTTTTATCTTCATTTAATGCAATGGTTGCATTACATGATACTCATTCTTATTATTACTTGTTTCAAACTACTTTTAAATTAAAATTGAATATTCTGTTGTAACACAAATCCAATTCATTTAATAAGATATGTACAGTGAGTCAACATAATTGCGATAACATACAACAAACATCGATAAATGAATCTCCTCACTTCTCCCTAAAGTCTCCCCACTTCTCCCTAAAGCAGCTGGAGGGAGAAGTGACTTCTCCCTAAATTTTGAACCTAGCTTGAGCCCTGTATGATATTGATTGACAATATGTACTTTATCTCTTATAATGAGGGAACGGCTTGATGTTTTGGAAAGGTAAATTAGTTCTTTAAAAGTCTACTAAGTAATGTGGAATTACAATAAAGTTGTGATTTGTATGTTGTTATCCTGTAATGTGAAGATTTTATAAATTTTCACATTTCTAACTACAATGGTTGTTGTTTATCTTTGCTTTAGGGTAACATATGTTGTTTAAAAAAAGGCTTAAAATCTGAGCAATACAAAGTGGAAAAACAATGCATAAACTTGTGTGTCATGGGCGGCAAAATCAATTAAATATGTATTGCCAAGGTTGTTCCACAGCCTCCATGGACAAAGGAATTTTTTTAAAGTTTTCTTTATAAATATCATAAGGACAATTAAAATAGTGATTCCAGATAAAATGGAAATCAGATTTGCTGGCCTTAAAGTGTGTGAAGTATACGTCTTGGGAGATTGATTTATTCAACCAGACCATAAAACTGCCTGAACTTACGAATCCTGGAATATTTTATTCATACCTGACTGTATGAATGAATGTTGTGAAATGTTTTGGGAGAATTGTTTTTATTTATTTCTGTACACTGATAGTAGAAATTATAATTTATTATCATAATTTATGGTGGTTATTTTGAAGTTCAGATTTGAGGCTTTTAAAAAAGTTTTCTTTTTTGCATAATAATTATATAGTTAAATTATGATGTATACATAGGATTTATCTTTATTTGATGTATCTTTGATATTTATTATTGTAAACACAAGGAATTGTACCCAAATTTTCTTCTAAAAATTTACTTATTATATATTATTATTCCTTCATTCTTCTCATGTATTATATAAACGCATCTGCATGTTAAATTGCAGTTGCTATCTCAGACAATCTGCCAATCTGATCTTACAGTGAGGCAATTTTCTTCAAGTTATTGTTTGATCTTTATTTGATTATACACTAAAATAGCTAAGCATCACTTAATTGTTTCATGAAAATGGCTCTGTTTTAATGTATTAGAATTTTTGTTGGTAATATCATTATTGTGTTACTTTTTGAATGATGAACAGAATTAAGTTTCATTGATCAGTGAGTCAGTGTACTGTTAACTTTATAAACTGACCATTCTGATGGTCAAGGGTTTTAGAGTGCTGCATCTGAAATTCTGAATCCAGTGATCATGGGTTCTAGCTTACAATGTAAATTATGTATCTGGGATCAAAGCTTGGTTTCATTTAGATTATTTTGTTAACATACCTCAACCTGATTGAGTTTTGGATTCATAGTCCAATAGTGAAGGTTGTTGACTTCAAACCACTTGCCCCTCACTGCTGTACATGTAGGTTCAAATCTTGCCAGGCCCAAGGGACTTTGGACTTTTCATGAGAAGTTATTATCTGACAGCTAGCTTACAGAATGCTGGTGGTTCTTCTCAGGTGCCTGTTAGTGGCTAAAATAATGCACCTTAGGTTTCCCTCCTCCAGTAAAGCTGAAAATCACCATAATTATGACTCTTAAAATGACCTCTACTGTGTTGGTGCAACGTAAAACCCCTTACCAAAAAAAATGTTTAGATTCAAGAATGAGACAGAATACATGCTTAACTTTCTTTGTATTCAATCTAAAATTTATGTGTAAACTAAGTTAATTGAAAAAAAAAGAGCTATCTTAAGCAAAAAAATAATAGAATAATCAATTATAGAGTGCATCCCGCAGTAAATAGTTTCATCGAAGTTCATTCAGCAGATTAAACTGACAGGTACATGGTACAGCACTTGGAGGTTTTTTTCTCTCTCTCAAAAATTGTAATCAGCTATGGTGTCTGTAATGAGGCGGTTGATTGACAGGTGAACCTGCCTACAAGTGAAGTTCACTGAGCTGCTATAACCCATTTCACTTTTATCTAGGATTAGGTACACATTATTCTCTTAATCTTTTGTACTAATGCTACGTGTTCACCTCATTTGCTCTGTACTATTATAGTAGATTGTATTATATTTTTTGGTGGGAGTATTATTACATATTTTTAACAAGGGAAAGCTGCTATGGGAGAGTTTAGTTCTATTTTAAAGTAGTGTCATCCATATGCCATTGAAACACTTAGAAAATAACAAGTGATCAATTTGCTATCTGAAAACTCCTCAAGTCAGCTTCTTAGTAATGTTGTATTTCGTAATATATCATCATACATGTACATGTATGTCACGATGGTTACATTAGATTCTTTGTTTTTATCAATATTTTCACCTTTATCAAATTTCATTATATTTCTACCATTTCTACCAGTACTATGATTATGTACATGTACTGAAATAAAGGTTGAACATTTTATCATGGTATCAATTATCGTCACTTTCAGTCTTCCAAAATTAGCGCCAGTCACTTTCAATCTTCCAAAATTAGCGCCAGTCCGCGGCCCAATGCCACTAAATCATTTAAATCTACAATGTAGTGACTTTATTAATCTATGTCACTGACCTCTGAATCCCTTTTTATTCACCACAACAGGTTTAAATCTTTCCCATTTGAAGTGGGAAGTTGAATTGTTTTAAATTCAATTGAGGAAACTATAGATCCACTGTGGCAAGTGGACGGTTGGTGGGTAAGTTCTACTATGATGCCAAAACCTGTGAGGCTGTGCATCAATGAATATTAATTGGACATCTAGGGTAATAAGTGGTCATTTAAACTGAACAGTGTCAGTGTAGTTAAAGCCCTATTACAAAGACTATTTTCTAAGAGTGTCATCTGCATGCAAGAAACCAAAAGAAAACAGTTAAAAGTCTTTTTACATTAAAATGTCCAGAACTTTTTATTAATGTCCAAATATTATTGTTACCGGTATGTTTTGTCAATCCATTTTATGGTATATTTGGGTTAGTAAAATAAGGTTTTAAGTATACATGTACAATGCAGACTGTACAATATTTATTTAATTGTTTTAGGGAATGTAATAATAGTTGTAAAATGAATAGATGGAATTGTTTTGGTTAGATGACCTGTTATTAGTACATACATTTGTATTAATCTCGATTTTTTATTCACATTAATATTCATACATATTTAATACAATAGGAGATATGTATGAAGTTATGCTAATGACTTGTTAAAATTATGCATCTGTCTTCAATTTATGCTTAAATAATGAGCATAACATATTGCCAACAAATAAAAAGTGTACCTTTTTAGGGCCTGCGGTTTTAGCCATTATGATGCTGTGGTTTAGTGGGGGTTTTAATAAGCATATTAATTGACTGGAAATATTAGGTTTATAAGTGATTTAAAGGCTCTATACTCACCAATAGAAGATGTCAGGACTTGTATATAATTATGTACTTTTAGTGGTATTTTCGTGCAATATTTAATCGCTTAAATTGATATTGATAAATTTGTACCCCTTGTACATTAAGTGCA